AAAAAAGTAATGTGCCTACGTGAGCCTTGGACTGAGTTATAATATTTTTGTACAAACAGGAATATATGTGGGAGATGATAGGGTGATCCAATACAGGAGGGCATCGAAATCAAATACCTGTGGATACGACCCAAGCAAGCAGAGAGGAGTGGTTAAGACCTGCCTTGACTGCTTCCTTAAGAACCACACCCTTCGCCGGTTTAAATACAACGTTTCCTCAGTTTACAAGGCAACTAAAACGTCGGGGATGTGCTACCCCGGGCCGTGCGACAGCCCAGATGTTGTCGTTCGAAGGGCCACTGAGATGCTCAACAAGAATGGATCATCTGGTGCTGCCAACTACTCGAAACTCTATGAGGAGCACCCTGTTTGCTTTGCCATTTGGTGCATGACGAACAATAAAAAAAGCGCCCGTGAGTTTGTTGCCGAGTCTAAAGTTAAAATGGGTATGGGACCTATAGAAGTTTTATTGCCCTTGGCATTGTTTGTTGCTGAACATGTCTATCAGACGGAGGGGCCACAATCTGATATTGGCGAGCCAAGTGGTGTTAACGCTGGCGGTGAGGACGTTGACGCCGGCGGTGAGGACGTTGATGCCGGCGGCGAGGATGTCGATGAGGCGGATATCGCGGAAGAGGATGATGAGGGCGCCTACGACGATGATGAAATTGAATTCTATTAAGATAATAATCAAAGAAAAAATAGTTGCCACTGAGATAGCACCATCATCAATCATCATAGATGACATAGAACTTTGTCGGGGGTGGGCGGGGATATGAAGTAGGGAATATAAAATGAAAATAAAAGAAAATATGGGTTTTTTTTTTTTTCCTGAAAAAAGATAGATTAGTTTAAAGTTCGAGGAAATTGTGTGGTTACTAGTTATTATGAATTTATATCAGCTTCTATTATCTTTTCTATATATAATGATGCACCATATTGTATTGTATGTGGTATATATAGTGTTGTATTGTATAATTCTTATGTAGGTGTTTGGTTTGTGTTGTATTAAATTATTATATTACTTTATACAATGTTTGTTTACTCGTGTTGTATTACGTATTACTTTGTAATTAGATAAAATTTAGGCTTGATCTTAACCTAACGTCACTTCAGTCTTTATCCTAACCAATATTAGAAGAAGGCGAGAGAAAAGGTGGAGTTGTTTAACATGTGCTTTTTGTAAAGTTTAAAAAACAAAGTTCCTGTTTAGTTTATTCGTTCGAATGTTGTTGATTTAATTTTTTTTTAAATAGAAAATATAATTTAGACAGCTTGTTTATTAAATATGAATTCAAACAGTGCTCACCATTCAAACTAAATTGAACTAAACTAAGCTGATAAAACAAATAGAGGCAAAGTATGTTTTTTTTTTTTTTTTTAATTAGGCCAAATTGTAATTTTTGAAAAATGAGGAGTTAAAATGCACTTTTTAGGAAATATAAATCAAACACCGATATTGTCAATCCCGAAATTAGGCACTGAAACCCGATCCCTAGCCCCAGTTTTGAAATTTAACATCCGCCCTCAAGTTTTGATATTTTTTAAATATCTTATACATTTTACATACACCCTTTTTAATTAAATTATACAATAAAGTTTAATAAATAGATTTTTTTTTAGTATTATGAAAATTACATGATCTTTCTCTCCTTAAAAGATAGAATCCGTTTTTTCGGGACCCATTTCATTGCCCTGCCCATTTCGTTGTGTCTTTTTTTTTTTTTTTTAGTTCATCCTTTTTGTTTTTTCTTTTTCCTCCTGTATCTTTTTTTATTCATCTTTTATCCTTTGATTTTTATATATTTTCGCATATATCTCTTTTAAAAACTTTTCATAGGGTTATTTAAAATAATATTTTTTTTCTAATTATCCTCCTAAATTATTATTTTTTCAAATGTGTCTCTATATAAACATTTTTTTTGTCTGTGAGCCTCATAAATTACAGCTTCAGTTGTGAAACGTTACATACGAGTTAATTTTTTATTTTTTTTATTTTTTTGTCTTTTTTATAGTCTTTTACTTCATATCTTTTTTTTCCCACTTTTGTCTTTATATTTTTTATCCTTTCCTTTTTCTTCCCTTTTTTTCCCGACAAGTTATATGACCGTTGTTTTAAATGAGTCATGCACTTTGTCTTTATTTATTTTATCCTTTTTTTCTTCCTTTTTTTTGGCGAATTGTATAAACGTTGATTTAAATATTCACGTGTGTTTTTTATTAGTCCATTGTAAATGCCAATTCGCGTTAATTAATTAATGAACCATGATTAATCTCAACGTCATATTTAATTAAAGACTTAACAAATACATCAAAATATAAAAAAATCAAAATTAAAGGTACCTAATGACTACATACTTCTATGGTTATTATATCCCTCGAGAAATTGATAGACGAAGACCATTTGAAGTCTTTGTAATATCAAGTAGCTCCAAATATACCTTCCATTTTCTGTTTTTGTCATTTCTATATCAATCACACTACTTGTCCCTATACTCAGTGTTGGGTCTTTATGAGCATCGACTATAAAAGACCAAAGACCAAGACTTCTTAATTTGCATTGAGGGACGAATTTATTGAGCTATGCATGTTCACATGTGAATAGTGCAACTTTATTCCAACAAAAACATCTTGAGACTAATATGAGTAATGCTATATGACACACTAATAGAAAATATATCTCATAAGTGACGGAAATAAGACAGTTTCCATTAGTTGTGGGGTCTACATAGATGATGCTCCTAAGCATTTTTAAGATTAATATACACGGCTTATGCCCAGTTAAATTAGAAACTAATCAATGTCAATCACATGACTTAGTAGGCAAGCACGCCTATAGATTAATTGCCTACTCGACCAATGAGAGTGCTTGGTGGAATAGGCAATTCAGCTCGAAGAAAATTATAAGCACTTCTTTTATTATAAATTGGAGGCAATATGCAGATGTAGAGAGCCCATATTCAAAAGAGTGGAGTTATAAAATTTGAAAGGAAAATTTGAGAGACAGAGAAATGAATAATTCGAACATGATTGTTGCTAGGAGAGCATGTTCAGAACAGGATAATATTGCCACAGAAACGCCCCATATAGACTTCCACACCACGGTCAGTACTATAAATCTCCCTTATATATATATATATATGTATGTATATTACATTATAGTACTATATATATCTGATAGTTTTTTTTTTTTTTTTTCAGTACTTGTAAATGAATCTCACATGACTCATGACTCTACATGTAATAGATTCATGTCTCCCATGCCTACGTTAACAATAAAATATACCCTGAACCGTTTTCTTTTGAACCATTATATAAATACACGTTGAACTAATTATTATAATACTAATTTTTGCATGCAGAAATGTATAATTATGTGGGAGAGAATAAAGTGATCCACTACGTATGCGAATCATCACAATAAAAAAAAAAAGGTTGCGAAAACTGTGGGAACGACCCAAGCAAGCAGCGAGGTAGGAGTACTTCAAAGAACCACACTCTCTACAGGGTTTGATGATGAAATGGCTTTCGATTGCTATATATAAAAGCTCTGAGACATGATTGGGTTGTTTATCCAGCAGCCAGAGTTACAACTGCCCTACCACAGGTACGGACGGTCATGTTACGGTGGCCGGCAGAGGATACCGGTGGCCAGTATGCTGACGTGATGGCGAGTATATATGCTGACGTGGGCTGCGAGGATGGTCAGCAATACGCAGCGGGAGAGTACGAGGATGCATGATTACTGTGACGCAGACTAAGGATATGGTATTCCTTTTTTTTTTTTTTTTTTTTAGAGAGAGAGAGAGAGAGAACTGAGAAGGGATGATTGGTATTGGTTAAACTATAGCCAGAGATAAAAAGAAAAATAAAAAAATAAAAGAAGAAAAGAGATGCATGTATGGTTATGCTTTTCTCAACTTATTTATCCGTAAGTTTTCTTTTTAACAAATAATTACAAGTCTAAAGTCAGCTGAGGCGGCTTAATTTGGATTTTTTTTTTTTTTTTTAGAAACTTAATTTGGAATTTTCTAATATAAAAATCTGCAAAAATTTGAAAAAGGGCTACTGTACTGTTCCTGGAGGATTTTTTTTTTCCTTTTACTGATATATATTGAAGAAAATTATTTGGCTTTACTGGTAAATTTGAGATTTATTGCTCAATAATTATCTCGGCATAAATATATATGAGAATTATATAAAACAGGCCCCTTTTTTAACTAAATTTATCTAGTTTTAATTCCGTACTCCATAATATTATATGTAAATAGACTTAATTATTTCCAATATTTTCTCATTTTTATAAGCAAAATATTATCCATGTTACTGCCTTCTAGAATCTTGATTATGCAACTGTAGAAAGGCATGAACATATCACCACCACACAACCATATCACCGTACGTCATTTCCCACCTTAACACCAAAGGAAAAAAAAAAAAAAAAAAAGCCTTATTAGTTCTCAATAGATATTAATGATCATGTGTATATATACATACTGTGATCCTTGCCAAGTAAGAAGAAAGGTTAATTACACAAGAGGCTTCTATTGGATTCATGCAAATACTGGAAGAAGCATATTCCTTCGGCATTATACTTTTTATGGATCCCTTATTTTATATTATTAGGGTTGCAGATCTCACAATTTTTCACACATTTGTGGTGAAAGTACGTGGAATATTGAGGTTCCGTAAGTACTAATAGAGGCCTAAAACATACATGATGACAGAAGAACCCATTTTCTGGTTCCTATTGCTTTCTTCTTGTGCAAGCAAGCACACTACTCTGATCAGCCGCCGGCGTGCAATATGTTTGGTTGTATAAAAGTCAATATATGCACATGCTATGCCATTGCCATGGAAGTATCTTGGAGGTTATCTCAAAGATACGACGATACACACACACACACACATACATATATATATATATATATATATATTTATAGATAGATATAGATATAAACATAGACATAGTACAAGAACTGAAAATTAGACGAGAGAATATGGGGTTGTTTTCAAACAGGATCGATCGCAGTTTGCTCAAACCAGGAGATCACGTTTACTGCTATAGAAACAATCACATCTACTCCCATCACGGTCAGTTTTCTTTTCTTCGTTTTCTTCATGATTATTAGCTCAGATTTTATTTCTTCGTTTTCTTCAAGATTAGGCCAGTGGATTTCACAAATCGCTAGTTAACTTCATGTACTTTCACATCTATTGGATCAGTTTTTTTTTCCCCCTTGGATTTACCCCTAATTTGTTAAAAGAACAATAATTACTGATGGATTTTCTCACAAGACTACTACCTGATGAGTTAAATTTTATTTTTATTTTTGGTTGGAACTACTGATTACTTAAATTTATGGCTGTGATCATCTGGAAATACACACACACGATAGAATCATAATTAGATTGATGCGATTTGGAAAACTGTTCCTTGAGTTGAGCTCTATATGGCTTAAAAAATCTTACAATACTTGATTAATACATAATATGTTGTATGTATATGATCTGCATTGATTATTATTCTCTGGTTGTTGGATTTGGAATTATTTAAGATTACAAGAGGTAGGCATATAAATGATTGAGAATAGGGAAATAAAGTCAACATTGGATCACCACACATCCTAATTCCCTGATAAAGAAATACTTGACGACACAGATATTAGAATCTGATTACAAATTTGCAGGAATATATGTGGGTGATAATAAGGTGATCCACCTCACAAGAACACAAGTCGATGGTCAGAACGATAACGATCATAATCCAATGATAAGCTGCCAAGTGTGCAAACACGAGCCAAAGCGAAGTGGAGTTGTGAAATGTTGCCTTGATTGCTTCCTCAAAGGCCACAAACTCTTTCGCTTCAAGTATGGAATTTCCTCAACACAATTCGTCATGAACAGGTCTGGAACATGCAGCACCGGCAACTGCTGCTACTCGCGAGATGACGTCGTTCGCCGTGCCACCGACATGCTGCACTCTTCCGAGGGGTTCGGTGCGTACAACCTTCTCAACAACAACTGCGAGGCCTTTGCGGTTTACTGCAAGACTGGCAAGCGTCTGAGTTTGCAAGCCTTTTCTCTGAGAAACAAAGTTGAAGTTACTTTCGATGAGCTCACCAGCCAGCCTTTTTCTGCGAAAAAAGTCCCTAAAATTGTGTTCAAAAGTGTAGTGAGGCATAAAAAGGACATGCTCCGATATGATAGAGCAAAGCATCAACAAGACAATTATGATCATGGTGATAAGGAAGATTATAATTACCGGAGAAGATAGAATATTAAGGCCAGATTCGCTTCTTTTACAACTAAATCTACATTAACTGTTGTGATCTGCCTATTATATATAATGAGGCTTTGATTACCTCATCTAGGTGTACAAATATGTAATTAGTTTGCGTGTCATAACTTTTGCATTGATTCGCCAATAGCTTCTTTTTACTTATTTATTTATTTATTTGTTTGAGAGTTAGCTAATACTAGCTTAGTTATCATCTGGACAAGGTAAGATCATGTACTGAACGGGTACATTTAAGCTGTAATTCATGTATGTATAGAAAGGGAAAAAAAAAAAATTATAGTACTGTATACTGTTGATGCCTTGTCATTCATTTTTACTAATAATAATAATAACAATAATAATTAAAAACAATAAAAACCTTTTAAAATAGACAACAATATCAAATAATAATATTGAAGTAAAAACCACTATGAACATCAAAAACAGACATTACGATTAAAAAAAAGAATTAAAAAAACAACAATAACTCGCAAAAGGACATCATATGAAAACGACATACACAACAAAAGAGGCATCATTCACAACAAACCTAAAAAAACAACATAAATTTGAAACACTAGCAACGTTATAAAACAAAAATCAGCGCAACGACAATAACAGTCTTGAAAAATAACACTCTTGAAAAAGAAAAACAATTTAAATGTGAAAGGACAATATTACCCTCGGAAAAAAAAAATGTCCAACTTAAAAGCTAGTATTAGAATTTGATCAGAGAATTTTAGTAGACAACTATGGAATATGGACAGAGCTTGTTAGGTAAAAGCCTCTTAGAGGGTCACAGTTATTGTCATCCAAGAATCATACTGAACAACACCCTTTATATTTTGCTAACTTTATATTTTTGGTAACAAGTAACAAAATACAACTGCTCATGGGCCCATCATCAATGCATATCTATTAATAGATATTTATGCTGAAGCCGATCGTCTTTATTAGCCTTTTTGTGCCGCATGAAAAGCCGGAATCCTTGCTGCAAGGAAGCAGCCGCGAAAGGCTTCAAGCCCTCAGACATGGGCTCATTCGGATGAGAGAACTTGGACCAGCATTTGGAGAGCACATGCTCCAAGTCACTGGCCATAAGAGCGAAGCCTTCAACTTTCATGTGGCACTTGAGGTTGGCCACGCAGATGGGGAAGTCGCAGTAGGATGTCGAGTTCAATTGCCATTCCAAAAGTTCTTTTCCGTAGTAATCGCCTTTCTGAAGGCGCTCGACGGCAACATCAGTGTCACTTCCAAATTTCCACACAATGCCTTGCGTGATGAAGAGTATGAAGTCTAGTGGTTCTCCTTTCCGAATGATATAGCTCTTCTCTTTGTAGATCACTGGCTTCAGATAGTTGCAGACCGTTTCATATACGTTATCATTCATGTTTTGAAGCATTGGCACCTACATATACACAGCTCACATAATCAACAATAGCTTAAGGACAAAAACTCCTAATCAAAAAATTTATGCTCAAGGACTAATAAAAAAGAAAAGAAAAAAAAAAGATAAGGGACCAAACTGATGTTTTATTTTTGAAGTCTAGAAATTGATGCTAAAATTCGTAGAATTAAAGCCAACACATACACTCATTTGACTTACTTTTTTCAACATAGGGAAGCAAAGGTGTTTCTTGACAGACATTCCAAGTGCAAAGGGAAGAATAGGCAGAAGATTGCTGATATCTACATCTTTGCCTTCTTGCAATCTCAGCCGTACATATCTCATAATCTTCTGCTTTATATCATGAGGAATTCTGTTTCTTGATATCCACAACTCTGCCTTTAGCTCTGATGTATTCCTGTCATGTTTTTTCACGTCCAATATTTTGGTCACCCATTCTGCAAATGTCTGTTTCACAATGTCTAATCAGTATACAAATCAAAAGTCTCTGTTCAAGGACTAATTTGTAATAAGTACACACATATATTACATACCTCGCTCTTGTGTTGACCATGATCAGTATGCTCTTCAAGAAGAGAAAACAGGCGTTTGACATCGAAATCTTTGTCTTCTTTAATCGTGCGTCGTAGGTACCGCATGATCACTTTCCTTTTATGTGCCGGGAGGTTGGATAGGTAAGAATCGATTTCAGGTTGTTTGATACTTATCCTCCGTCTTGCCTCCTCTGATTTTGTGGTTGCCAATTGCATATATGTCTGTAAATTCATGCTTAACCGTGAATTAGAATAATAGTCAATCCAACCCTTTGTCTCAATGACTTCTATTAGTAAATGCCTCTGCTTTTGTTACTCGGACTTCCAATTTCACTTAAAAAGAAAAATATAAAAGTGGGCAATCTTTGTCTTCCTTATGCCTGTAGGTAAACATTTGTTTATGAGGATATGGTACTTATATGTGTGTGTGTAGTACCTATAAGAAGCAATGATACTTGAAGGAAATGAAGTTTAACACAAACAAGAGTATTTAATATTTATACCTGCAGATTTCCTATGAGGTATAAAAATAAGAGTAAGCCCAAGATAGAAATAAGAACTGCAAAGAGGTTTTCCTCTACATTGCCACTTGTGTCCAGGTTTTGACCAAAAGAACTGCAAAATGAATCGATAAAACAAAATATGAGATATGTACTAACATCAGGGAGTTGAAAACAAAAGGAAGGGCATAAACTAGAAAGCTTCTAAAAAAATTAATAGATTGTTTTTTGTATCTGTAGTTTGGGGGTGCAAGAATGGTGATTGATTGGCACAAACCTCAAGTTTCGCAAACCCCACCAAAAACTACGAGAGAATTTTCTAAGAAAATTTGTTTTGTGAAGTATACGAGACTCGATGGCATCAGCAAACATTCCAAAATCAAAAACCGCCTTATCTGGCGGATCTACAGGGCAAAACTCATTCAAGTGTGTCAAGTTCTTCAGTGGTGGATTTCGGCGACAATCGAAATTACTAGGAACGCATCCGGGGTAACTTTTACAAGCACGGTGCCAACATGCCGTCTCACGAAAAATGGCATAGAAGTACCAAAGAGCTCCAAACACCTAATTAATTTAGGATTTTTAAAAGACAAGTTATTAAAGAAAACTTTTGGAATCAACATTAACTATTATTAGAGGTAAGGGGTAACTCTATAGAATAAGACACACTTACATGACCACAAATGATGTAGAGAAAGAAAAAGAAGGCCCCTCTGACCCATACACGTCTAGTGAGTGAATCATAAGTCCTTCCAAGCTCTTTGGCAGATAGGTAAACACGAAGAATCCGCGGAACATATTGGAGCAGAAGTAACAAGTTTAGGAACTTCCTTGTGGTCAAAGATTTGGAGCCCGCGATCTTAGAAAAGTATTTCAAAACTATCACCTGCACAGAACTAGGATGACATTATTCTTTGGACTGAATGACTAAGAAACAAAAGTTTATCATAAAAAAGAACAATAATGCTCTTACTTGTGGGAGAGGAAGAATGGCAAAAACATCAATTAGAAGGTAAGACCAAGGAAGACCGGTATATATGGATAATCCGAGCTCCTTAGCCATTTTTAGTGCACTAGTAAGCCGAGAAATGAGGTGAAGTAAGTAAGCAAAGTCTGTGATGATTCGTAGAACAAGAGCCACATACATCATAGGTTCGTCTACATCGAGACACTTTTTGTCCTCGTTTATAATCGGAACGTAGAGGAACAATGGATCGATTGAGACCCCGATCACACATGATGCTAAAAAGATCTTGTTCCACAGCTGAGGGTAAGATGCCCAAGGGTTCAACAGTTTCTCTACTTTTATGACATGTTCCTTTGGTGTGTCCTGTCCGGATCCATCTTTTATGGGATCGGAATTATAATATTGCTTCTCATAATCAACGCTGAATGGATAAAGATTCAAGGGAGAAACTATCAATATTTTTGTTCAAAACTTTTATGCAAAGAAATCTCAAGTTACTAGGAAAAAAAAAAAGTCACTAAAAGGGAATTGAAGAAAATAGTAGTACTAACCGCAATGATATTGTATCTTTATCTTCAGGACTAATAGTAGTGTCGTTCATAACTTCACTGTATATATGTAAGATATGTATGTATAATATATGGTCTCCTCTGGATAAGAAATGGATGGATGATATCAAGAGTGGAAAACTGTAGACTAAGGACAATATTGATTATTGCGAATGCAAATGTTAATTAAACGCGAATTTATCAAAAAATAAATAAATAATAACGAAGAAAGAAGAGAAATTTTTCACTAATTTATAGCTGATGATGAATCGAATGAGTTTCTTTATAGCTGAGTATCACTGAGAGAAAGGGAGAGAGAAAAAGAGAGTGATGAAAATGAAGAAATGTAACATCAAAATTTTTAAGAAAAAATGACTTTCACTAATTTACAAGAAATTATCCTAAACCTCAACAAAACACCCTCATAAACCAAACTAACTAAAATTAAAAGCCAGCAATTGTTTTTTCTCTGCAACTTATGAAACCATTGGCAATTACAGAAGGGTCATAAGCACAGCAAGAATGAGCAGATACGATACGTACCTTAAACAAAAAGAAAGGGGTGAAACATTACATAGTAGCTAACTTTGGACCTGGACGGCAGTACAATAATATTATCTGGATGGAACTGATGATCATGAGGAAGAAGTAGATAGTATCTGAGAGAGTAATTAATTAAGAATAATGTTCCAAAAGAACTAAACAAATTGGCCGGCTATTTTTACACTTAACAACATTAATATATATATATATATATGTATATGAAGATTAAGGAAAATGATCATTAACTAGTCTATATAGTTCAAGAAGAAAAATGTTAATTTTGTATATGAGAATATTCAACATGGAAAGCACAAGGAAAAAGCCAATTACGCGTATTGAATATTCATCTTGACTTTTTCCTTCCTTGACATAGAAGTATAAAATTCTTCTATTAATTTTGCATATATATGTATATGAAGATTAAGGAAAATGATCATTACCTAGTCTTCTTAACTTCTCATCTTATTTAGAATTTTATACTTCTATTAATTTTGTATTTTTCTTCAGTAAAACCGAAAGTAGTATATACTGGTTGCCGTGGTGAATCAGTCACACAAATTATCATCCTCTTTTTTTATTATTTTTTATTTTGTCTCCCTAGCGTTTACTTTACGAGGTCAAGAGGAGAAGTATATATACATATATATATATATATATATATATTGAATATTTAATTATGATTAGTTTATTATGACCAATATCCAGAGTAACTAATAGTAGAAATAAAAGGATACAATAATTAATTTTAAATTCCACAACAAATATGCACGACCCCACCAACAAACACCAACTATTGGCTGGTCTTTTTTCTAAAATTATCTGTTTCTTTTATTGGTGGGACCAAGTAATTCTGATTGATTCAAAGATTGCAAGAGAGACGTAATTTTCAAAATAATAATTAAAAAAACACAGGAATCGTTCACATAGAGTTTTTGTTAGCCACAAACGCAATTAATAGTTAGTAGCAGTTGACGGAGAGAAAAATTAAAAGAAAAAAAAAAAAAAAAAACCAACTTGACTTCATATATATATTATGAGGTCAACTAGTGTTTAATTAAGGTGGTCTCTTGGATTTTTTTTTTTTATTTGTTTTTAAAAGGAGGTCTCTTGGAATTTTGATTTTTATACAAACGTATCCTTAGCTTATACATTTATTTCAAGTTATTTTATTTTATTTTTTATTCTAGGTTCCGGTTGTCATGTCAATAAAGAATTGATCTCTAACTTATTAAAAAAAAAGATATGTATATAATACATGCTGTAAATATAACTTGAAAAAAAAAAGACAGAAAAGATTAGTCAGATCTAATATCTTTGTTCTCAATATTTATTTGACTTTAATATTCTAGTTTCATCGATTGTCAGAGGATATTATTGTGCCACTACTAATTAGACCTGTTCAAAGGTAATGACAAGAGCTAATGGGCTATAATAAGTACATTCGTAATTTTATTTTATTTCTCTTAAATATTTATAAATAAATATAAATTTAGAGGGAAGAAATTAAGAAGAGGGCACTTGGTCTCTGGTCTCGGGTCTCTGGTCTCTTAATTATCTAACTTCTAACATAGCTTCAACACGTTGAATTATATTGGATAATTATGATAAATACCCATTAAAAATACATGAGTTAAAATTTTTATCTTTTATTCTTGATTTATAAATTTTTTAGTTAAATAATTACACTGCTAAAAAAGTATTTATCAAGAGTAATGAGTAAAGATTTAGACCAGAATAAATTCTCCAGAAACTTTTGTAAAAGGATAGAAACGACAATAAAATCACAAACAACATATAATTTAAAATGAAAACAACGATGAAAAATGAGATTGACGTTAAAAGGATAAAAATCATTTGAAATGGAAGTGAAAAATACAACAGAAATAATCTTAGAAACAGATTGAAAAATAGTATATTGCAACAATATTATGAGAAACGACAATTATTATAAGAAATATAACAAATGATATCGGGAAAAAATCAACCACCATAACTAAAAACGACATCAACAACAAAAACTTACAAACGACAGTAGTCTAGAAAAACGACATCATCAAGAAAACGACCGACAAGTATGTGCAAACATCAATAACTGTAAAAGCGACACACACAAAAAAACAAAAAAAACAAAAGAAAAAAAAAGGATATCAGGTTGAGAAACCGAGACAATCTTGAAAAGACGAAATCGACTTAAAACAAAAACAAACAAAAAAATGCTGTTAGACAAACTTGAAAAACTATATCAAAGTAAAACGGACAGTCCTGAAAAAAACATTATGAAAAGGTAAAACGACATTACCGTCAAAAAACGACGTCAAAGAAGAAGGCAGCGTGGTAGCGTTGGAACTTGATTTCTGAATATTGCAGGGCTGGGGATATTTACTTTGCAAAGCCGTTTAGCAGAGAAGTAGAGTGAGATTTAATGAAAAAAAAAGAAGATTTTGAAGAAGTGATATTCTGCTGACTATATTCGATTATTATGAAATTGTTATAAACGACGAGAAAAGTACAACAACTTCATTATTTTGATTTAATTATTTGCACTAGTACTATGCTAATCAACTAATTATATATGTTCATCAGCAAATTATACTGCTCCTGAATCAGACGATTTGTTGCCCTTCTCTTCCGAATATAACGCTGCAATCCTCGCTGCAACGAAGCCTTCGCGAAAGGCTTCAAGCCCTCGGACGTTGAGCGAGGAAACTTCCACCAGAAAGTCGAGAGTAGACGCTCCAAATCTATGGCCATTAGAGCAAAGGCTTCAACTTTCGTATGACATTTGAGATTAGCTTCGGATATCGGGAATTCAGAATAAGAGGTTGAGTTCAAATGCCATTCTATGAGTTGTATTCCATAGTGATCACCTTTCTGAAGGCGCTCCATGGGACTAGTACTTGTTCCAAATCTCCACGCAACACTTTTCTAATAATATAGCTCTTCTCTGTGTATATCACTGGCTTCAGAAGTTTGAATATCATTTCATACACACCCTCATCCATATTTTGAAGAGTTGGCACCTAAATGTAATAAAACATTAACAACATACTCGTAAAGCAATTTCAATGACTTATTTGGGGTTTTAAATTTAAATAGTGAAACGTATAGGTAAAAATGGATGCTAATGGTTAAAGGAAACTATTAACTTTTTTTTTTTTTTTTAAAAAAAAAATTTGAAGTTAAAATATTTTTGGAAGGCCAAACTTGTAATTCATTTGTGGAAAATAATGGCCAAGGTGTCTAAGCCCACAACTTTGACGAATTCAATTTAAAGAAGAATATTAACATTAATATATGTGCGAATTGAGCTCAAATATATAGAATATTCATTTGACTTACTCTTGTTAACATAGGGAAGCAGAGGTTTTTCTTGAGTGACATGCCAAGTGCAAAGGGAAGAATATGAAGATGTCCAACATCTACTTCTTTGCCTTCTTGCAATCTCAACCGTACATAGCGCATAATCTTCGGCTTTAGATCATTTGGGATGGCGTTTTTCGATATCCACAACTCCGCCTTTAGCTCCGTTGTGTTCTTCTCATGCTTCTTCACGTCCAATATTTTTGTTACCCACGCTGCAAATGTCTGTTCCACAATAATGTATCGATACATAATTAAGCTCACGAGCTAATCATCAAATCAATCATATAATAATGCACTATTTTTACGCTATAAAGCTTATCAACCTCGCTATTGTGGCGGCCAGCTTTGTCTGTGTGCTCTTCTAGAAGAGAAAAGAGGCGATTGAAGTCGAAATCTCTGTCTTCTCTGATTGTGCGTCGCAGGTATCGCATGATCACTTTCTTTTTATGCTCAGGGAGGTTGGATAGGTACCAATCTATTTCTGGTTGTTTGATGTTTAACTTCTGTCTTGCCTCCTCCGATTTTGTCATTGCTAACTGCATATAAGTCTGTTTACAACAAGAAATAACATTTTTTGAGTAATGGCGTTACGGCGTTGGTTTTGTTTTTGTTTTTCACATTTTTTGAAAAAAATAAAAACGGAAGAGAAACGGCGTTTGGCACAATTAAAGATAAAAAGCATAAATGAAAATAATTTTTTAGTTTAGTGTAAAATGGGAGAGAAATGAAAAATAACTTTTAGACGTTTTCTATTTTTTGTTTATGTTTTCTCCTCTCTTGAGCACAGAGAAAGAGACATTAATGGATTTTTTTATACTGAAAATAATCTCTTGATAAAATTATCAAACGCATTTTTAAAAATGATTTATGTCTGAGATTGAAAACATTTTCATTTTAATTTTCATACAAAAAATAAAATCATTTTGGAACGAGTTCCAAACGCGACCTTCCAAACCTAAACCCTACCCCCATCTTACACACATACTATTTGACCTAGTGGTCGTCTCACATTCCAAAGCAGATTATTTTTCTCATTAGGCAAATGGAAAAAAATAAAAATTGTTTGGCCAGCGTAATACCAATGCTTGAATTCTCTATTACTATTGTTTCATTGACGTTAATTAGTCAGTGGCTGCAAGCATCGCCTACTGGTAATAATTTGACACCTGACTTCATTACAAGATGAGGGGTTCAAACATTTCAAATTCATTGAAAAAAAAACATTTGCCAGGCTTTCCGAAATATTAATTGGACAAGTTAATTGTTGTCAGGAGCTCTATATATGAAGCATAAGTTAGAAAATATATACGAGTTATAAGGTGCAAAGACTAAATTAATATTGAGGAATAACCTGCAGAGTTTCGATGAGGTAAAGAAACAAAAGCAAGCCCAAGATAGAAATAGTAACTGCAAACAAGTTTTCGGCTACATAGCTACTTGTGTCGAGGTTTTGACCAAAAGAACTGCATGCAAAAGAAAATCGGACAAAATATGAGATGTATCATATATTACCAAAAATAAGAAAACTTGGGGAAAATGATCTTATAATATGCAACTAACCAACCTTAAATTTCGCAAACCCCACCAAAAACTACGAAGGAATTTTCGTAGGAAATCTGTTTTTGTAAGTATCCGAGACTCGACGGCATCAGCAAATATCCCAAAATCTAAAACGGTGGAATTTGGTGGATCCACAGGGCAAAACTCATTCAAAAATGTCAAATTCTTCATCGGAATTGCCCAACGACAGTCGAAGGGACTGGGAACGCAACCGGGATACTTTTTACATGCATAGTGCCAACATGCCGTCTCACGGAAAATGGCTTGGAAATACCAAAAGGCTCCAAATACCTAATTAAGATATTGCAAATCAAGGAAAACAATTAATAAAAAGCATTTTATACCATGCATGAAGACTAATAAGAGGATAATTTTCAACATGTTGTCCCTAAATCTCTCGTGATTTGATGTTTCCATTGTTTTTGTTTTTGTTTTTTTTTTGTTTTTTTTTTTTTTTGTCATTTAGTCTTTGAATTTACAAAATGGTAGAATGTAACTAACTCCATATCGATCATTAACGAGACGCAAAGCACAAATTGATTAGGAATTAAAAAATTTTCAAGTTAGAAGATATATATTGGAGAAATTACACAAGAATAATAATGCAAAATTGATGGTAATTTATATAGTATAAAATTACTTACGTGACCAAAAATGATGTAGAGAAAAAATAAGAAGGCACCTCTGACCCAAACACGTCGAGTGAGAGAGTCAAAAGTCCTGCTAAGTTCCTTGGCTAACAAGTAAACACGAAAAATTCGAGGCACGTATTGAAGCAGAAGTAATGAGTTTAAGATCTTCCTTGCAATCAACGATCTCGACCCCGCTACGTTTGCGAAGAACACGAAAACCGTCACCTGCCACAAGTTAATTCATATTTGTGGGCAGGAGATAATTAAGTTGATCAGTCACAATGGGTTTTTGCATATATCATACTAATAATTAATATGTATTCTTAACATAAAGTGTCTAAATTAATTACGATAACATTACAATACTAAAAACCTTTACCGATATGATGAAGTTCCAGACTTCATCAAGTCTCCTTACATTTGTATGTTTTAAAAATGTTATATAATTCTTATATGCGACCTAATAAACGCAACATTTGTTGGAAGTTTTTAATTTTACTTTATATCAAAACAACCAAGCTGTTTTAGAAAAACCACTAAATCTCCATTACAAATTATAGGACAATATATATATATATATATATATATATATATATATATATCTACTCATATATATAGTTACTTTTAAATGTCAAAGCTAAAGGAAAGAGTCCTATATATTAAGACCTTAATTTGTTTTCAATATCAAAATTGTTAAGGATGCCAACTTTTATCCAAACTTGTCAATATACCTAACTCAACAATGCGTTGTTATTTTTTCACTGGTCGATCGATAAATGCAACTTTTTAATATTAATTGGCCTTGATGATTTTTAAAGACAAATAAAAGGACGATCTACGTATATATAGAAATTAAAAAGTTAGGATCTGTACTATTATATATGTTTCATGTGGTAGATATTAGTTTGCGTTGCTCTTACTCACCTGTGGGACGGGAAGAATGGCTAAGATGTCAATCAGAAGGTATGACCAAGGAAGCCCTGTGTATATGGAAAAGGCCAAGTTCCCTAGCCATTGCTGACGCATTTCTAAGCCGAAAAATTATGTGAAATACGTATGCGAAATCCGTGACGCTTCGCAGCAAAAGGGCCATAAACTTGACGTTTTCGTCCATTGCCAGGCACTTTTTCTCCTCGTTTATTATGGGAATGTAAAGAAACAATGGATCGATTGTGACACCAGTGACGCATGATGCTAGGAATATCTTGTTCCACAACTCAGGGTACGACGCCCATGGGTTCAATATTCGTTCCACTCGATTGTCGTTTCGCACTTGATATGCTCCATCATTGATGGGGTTAAAATAGTGATATTGCCTATCCATGCTGATCAAGAGAAGATATATAGGAAGAAAAACAATAAAGACAGCATTTGGATTATCATAGTAATTCTCTCGAAAGCTTAGAAAATTAATTACAATAGTTTAAAAAATAAAAGATAATTAATTAAAGTTAAAACGGAGATCATGAGCAAGAAAATAAGAATTAGTACCGCAGTGATATTGTATCTCTGTCTTCAGGATTATTCATAGCTTGATTATAAACTCTGTACAAACTCTCCTCTTGAAAAAGAAAAATGATTTTTCTTTTTTTTTTTTTTTTTTTGAAAGAAAAATGATTGATAAGCACAAAATTCTATACAAACACATAAACGAGGAAAACGAGATTTTCTAAATGTAAGGTTGAGCAAGCATCTTGCAATGTACTTTGAGAGCTACTAGTATTTATAATCTCAGCAAAATCTACTACTAGCTATAAAAATTATAATCATTATCCTACCCATTTAAAAAAAAAAAAAAAAGAAAAAAATTACTTTAGTCTCTTGATGTTTCGTTTACTTTACCAGGTCCAAGTAAACCCTTACTTGGATATCGAATATTTAATTGTTATAAGATTCTCATAATCCAAATTCATTATAATTAAGGAAAGGAATGAAACTATAGTATCAAAATAGAATAAAATAATTGATAACTAATTGTCAAGTTGGTTAGTCTTGTTCTAAAATAATTAGCGCACAAGTCAGCTTGATAAAACAAGTAACAACATTATAAGCCCAGAGCTATTATTGTAATAGAAATACAAATTTATCAAATTAACCCCATATTTATCCAGAATATTAACACGAATATGCAAATGACAGCAGTTATAACACCAAAATGTTGACCGGTTAAAGAAGGCAAGAAAACATGAGTTTTTATAGAGCCAATATTCGTTGGGAATCCCACCGCAGAAGGAAGACTCCTGAAAGAAGAAAAAACAAATGATGTCAAATGAAGCAACTTCACTTCATTTGACCAAGTCTACTTAGGGGTGATAATTCATATTGGTGAATCGTATTCGTATCGTGTTGACCCCCTCAATTGACATAAATAGACCTAACACGAACATGACCCGTTTATTAACGTGTCGAAATACAAAACCCAAACACGACTTATATATTGGCGGGTTGACACGACACGACACGAATAACCCGTTTGTTAAACATGTCATAAACGTGTCGTGTCAACTCGTTGATTATCTGTCAACCCGTTTATAAAATGGGTGATAAATGGGTAGTGTTAACCTATTTCTGAACTTATTTTTGAACATGTTTATAAAATAGGTGATAAATGAGTCGTGTTAACCTATTACTGAACCTATTTTTGAACTTGTTTATAAAATGGGTAATAACAGCTTGTGTATTCGTGTTACCCAAATATGACACGTTTAATAAACGGGTTATGACGGGTCAATTGCAGGTTGGTGAGTCAACCTAAAAATGACACGTTATTTAATTGTGTTTCACAGGTTCGATCTGATTTTGACCTAGACGTATTTATGATAAACCCAAACCCACTAATTTTGTGTGGATTTCGAATCATGTCGTTGTGTCGCTACCCGGATTACCAGCCCTAGCTCTACTGCAGTTTAATTAATAAGGAGATCTCTGGACATTTCTAGTGTCTAGATATACAAATGTGATCAATGTACTTGTCCCTTGTACTTTGATTATGAAAACGACATCCAAATCTTTGGAAACGACATGTAGTTTATTATTATTAAAAACGACATCCAGGTCCTTGTTAGTCGACATGTACAGGTGTGATCCTTAACGTACTTATCCCTCGAGCTTCTCACCTACTAGATGCTACTTTTTTTTTTTTTTTTTAATCTCTGATCATGATCCCGTAATATTAAGGATATAAGTTGCAGAATATTTTCCATTAGGCTATGCTATCTACTCTCACATTACCTTGAAGCTACCCTTTGGAAAGAGTTTATAAGTTTTCTATTTTGTTATCTTTACATTATGAAGGTTATTTTTAGGCTCTTGCTTTTGGGGTCCGTAATTGGTACGTATCACATATGGGACATATTTCAGTCACACAAAGGCATTATGACTTTTCTTCTTCATCTTATCTCAAGTTAAAGATTATTCTTTTGCAAATATTATTCAATTTTTAGATGATATCAATATTTTAATTTTGTGGTTAATAGATTCATCACTTTGCTACAACCAAGAGCTCAAGACCCGTTCAAAGTAAGGATAAAGCTATCAGAGGTGCCCGAATATTCTGCGTAGTGCGTTGTGTTGTTACTATATTCGTAAAATATAATAGTGTGCCTTCATCAATAAAAAGAAAAAAAAAACGGGTGTTTATTAAGGAGACATTTGATTTATGGATTAAAATCATGAGATTAGAATCATTTTTAATTTATGTGTATTTTTTGTGAAAAAAAATATTGTAACAAATCATAAACCATGATTTAAATTATGGTATAAATTCTCTAACCAAACGTCTCTTAATAATCCGGTCGCCTTATATCTTATTAGTATTGTTATTGCCATTATTAAATACTTGTCAGAAACAATTATTGGCGATTATTTGTTTTCCGTAGAAGAAATGACTTAAAAGACAGAAATCATACAAAAACCAGATAATAAAAAAGAATACTTTGGGAAGAAAATTTAAGAGAAAAAGAAAAAAGCAAATTGTTAAAAACGACATCTAGTTTCATTATGGAAACGACATCCAAATCCTCGTTATTTACTTTATTACATTAAACGAAATGTCGTTTTAACTGGCTGTTGGCGCGGCGATACCAAAAAAAGGACATGTCGTGTGGTTGAGATAAAGCAATCACTCCAATCGTCATAAACGACATGTAGTTGGATCTATGAAAACGACTTCAAAGTCCTCTTTACTCCACATGTCTCCTTGTCGTTCCATGGAGTCGAGATGACGCTCAAGTCGTGGTGATTGCTATTATTCACAATTAAAGACATGTCTTTCAGTCAGTGACAAATGACATAGCTTTCACGAACAACATCAAACAGATTAAAACATATCTTTCTGTCAGCACAATGTCGTCTGCCTAATGTAGAAACCTCATATGAACGACGTGTCGTTTTTTACTTGTTGTCGGCGATACCAAAAGGACATGTTGTGTGCAAAGTTCGTCCTCTTTACTCGCTCAAATTCAACCATTAACGACTGAAAATCGTCACTCATAAACTCACACAGTCGCTTTATCTTGAAAGATATCTCTTCAATCGCTTCCTTCCCCAGAAAACGAAAAATCTTTCCTCTGCTCGTATCCAGAAAACGACAACTAATTCTGCCTTGCAGTTGAATTCCGTTTCGCTAGCTTCAGATAATGAATAACTCTCACACAAATAATCCATGGTGAAATTCTTCTCTCTATCTCCCAACTCTCTCTCCACATTACTCTCCACACCCACATCCTTTTCTCCTCTCTGCCCATCTTGTCTCCACCGCCATGCAAAACCCAAGTTCGTCGCTTCCTTGACGCAGAACAAGACCCTCAAAGAACCCAGCTTTACATCATCATCGTCATCACAGAGTTTTCGCGCCGGAGAAGAACTTTCCGGCGAAACATACAACCATTTGATCCGCGAATATTGCCGAGCAGGAAATGTCGACGGAGCCATGACGCTTCTCGCTCAACTCAACGGCTTGGGATTTCATCCCAGTTTTGCAACTTACGCTTGTTTGATTGAAGCTCTCGGAAGTGTTGGAAGGACTTTGGAAGCGGAGTGTTTGTTTCAGGAGATGAGGTTTTTCGGGTTTAAGCCGGGGATAAAGTTGTGTAATGTTTTGCTTAAAGGGTGTTTGAAGAAAGGCCTCTTAGAGGTGGGAATTAGAGTTTTGGAGTTAATGGACGAAGTAGGGGTTGAAAAGAACCGGGAAAGTTATGAGATTTTGTTGGATTATTATGTTAATGCCGGGAGGTTGGAAGATACTTGGTGGGTTATTAATGAGATGAGGAGTAAGGGATTTAGGCTGAGCTCGTTTGTGTATGGGAAAGTTATTGGTCTTTATAGGGACAATGGGATGTGGAAGAAAGCTATGGACGTTGTGGAGGAGATTAGGGAGATGGGTTTGGCGTCGGTTCGGAAGGTTTATAATAGTATTATTGATACTTTTGGTAAATATGGTGAACTTGATGATGCATTGCAGGTGTTTGAGAAAATGAGAGGAGAGAATGTGAAGCCGGATATAACGACGTGGAATTCACTGATATTGTGGCATTGTAGGGCTGGGGATGTCGGTAAGGCGCTTGAGCTTTTTGCGGAGATGCAGGAGGAAGGGTTGTACCCCGACCCGAAGATCTTCATTACGGTTATTAGCCGTTTAGGGGAGCAGGGGAAGTGGGACATGATCAAGAAGATGTTTGAGAATATGAATTGTAGAGGGTACAAGAAGAGCGGGGTCATATACGGCGTTTTGGTTGATATTTACGGGCAGTATGGGAAGTTTCAGGGCGCTGAAGAGTGTATTTCTGCTCTGAAATGGGAAGGTCTTCCAATTTCTGCAAGCGTGTTTTGTGTCTTGGCAAATGCCTATGCTCAGCAGGTATGCGTCCTTTTCATCATACCCTATGCTTTGTGCTATCATAGATTTTAAATCATGTTGGGATTTTGCTTAGGCAAAAGATTCATGTCAGTTTTTGGAGCAACTTATTCGCTAGGAGTTCACTAATTAGCTCAAGACGTAAATTTATTATTCACTCGAAAAACCAGGAAAAATTGGCAACTTCATCTGATTGAAAGGTTGCTAAATTCTTCTATCCCCAAGTCGCAAAGGGAAAAAGAAATCATGGTTGTCCATTCTATCTCTAGAAACGGACTTTTGTTCTCACATTCCAACAAGTTCTTGTTAGCTAGAGTGTATATAAATACAATCAATGAAGACTACAATTATAAAACCATTAATTTGGAAAAACGTTTCATTTTGGTTATAGAAAACTGTCCATCAAAATCTAGCAAGGAGTTGGAAACATATTAGCACAAACATTTTTACCTTTCTAGATTGAACTTAAGCGATACAAAGTCTTACAGAGTTAAAATCTAGGCTAGGAGCAACTTATTGGCTAGGAGTTCACTGATTTTCTCAGTTTATAAACATTTCCAATGATGAAATTAAACTCCTAGCATAACTTACAGAATTAAAAATCAAAAACTAGGCTAATCTTGTGTTCCTCTGCCATAACTGTAAAGAGCATGCCAAAAGAATACACGGTACTGGTTTCATAGGGAAGATAAGTGAATTGTGTTTGAATTTTTCCTTCTTAAGATTAAATGGACTTGACATTTTTCTGATAAATCCATGAAAATTTGTTTATATGCATACAAAATGTGCAGGGATTATGCGATCAGACACTTAAGGTTCTTCAGCTTATGGAAGCTGAGGGGATTGAACCAAATGTTGTAATGCTAAACGTTTTGATCAACGCATTTGGTATTGCTGGTAGACATTTGGAGGCTTTGTCGATTTATCACCATATAAAAGAAATAGTAAGTGTTCTTCCTAACAAATTCCCTAAATCAAATTTATATTTTTGGGCACGATAGACTCAGTTTCTAAGGACGATGTTTTTCTTGCATTGTGAAGGGTTTCAGTCCCGACGTCGTTACTTATACTACTCTCATGAAGGCATTTATTCGCGCAAAGAAATGCGATAAGGTGCTCTTACATTCTTCGGTAGCTTTGCTTCTCATCCTAAAAGGGAGTTCAGAAGGTTTTTCTTCATGTAAGAGATTGTCACGTAGAATATCTAATTTCTTTTGGCAGGTCCCTGAGATATACAAGGAAATGGAATGTGCTGGCTGCACTCCGGATAGGAAGGCCAGACAGATGTTGAAAGTTGCTTTGAATGTTCTTGAGCAGAACTAGCTAGTTAAGTTCAGATGCAACAAAGCCACGTGAATTTGTCATTTGAAGACCCCGTTTGAAGCCGTCTCTTCGCTCGGCGCAGTCAATGCAGAGCCTCTCGCATAGCTTATTCCTCAACATTGTATATCTTCTAATTTTGTTCTTGCTCTTCTAATTAGTCGTCGCTGGAAAATTAATAATGTCGTAGGCTTTACTTCCAAATATTTGTTTGTTCTTTAATCCTCTTTTCTTTTTATGTTACAAAGGGATACAAATGTGTAGAATAAATAGAGGAAAGTAAAAAAGGCAAGAAGAAAAAGAAAGTCAAATTAAAATCAATGTATTAAATCAAAATGGTCAAATTTTTCGTTTGTTTTTCTTGTCCGCAATGTTCTACAATTAGAAAGCTTTTGAGATAAGTACTATCAAAATTTTCCTCATCAAAGCTTTTATCTCGATCATTTTTTCGTATAAATTTTTAGTAAAACGTTTCCCCTAAGAGCACTTCCTCTGCAAACTGTCGGGAACATGTAGCACCGGCCAGCCGGTTCCCGCAACGAACCGGACGTCATTGTTCAACGAGCCAAGCAATTATTATAAGGGCATTGGTGATTATCATCCTTTCGAGAACAACTGCGAGGCCTTTGCCATATATTGCAAGGGACAAAATTGTCATATATCATATGTAGCGGGTAATTTATCACAAAATATAACATATGGCGAATTTAACATAATAAATAAAATTATATTAGAGTCTTTTTTTAGATTCAATATTAAATTTATAATTGACACATTAATTTTTTTTTTTTTTTTTTTAAAGAATTGACATATCAATTGTAGTATTGTGTATTGAACATGAAAACGGCTGTTCAACCTGCAGCGCGTATAAAGTGTAACATAAGTTATAGAAAAACCCTAAAGACTTGAAAACGGCAAAGCAACACCCTAAAAATTGAGAAAGTAAATAGAAACTGATTTTGAAATAGTGAAATAAATAAATCTTGTCCATGTAAATAATAAAATATGATTTCGTAAATATAAATCTTATGTTAAAAAGTCTATCTAAGAACGAGTTTCCTACCAATACTATCACAGATAACTCTCATTTCATTTTCATCTATTATGATGTTAATATTTGATAGCTCATCTTCTCGTTGATCAAAAAGATTGAAACTGCACATCAACAATTGCTTCTCTCCTTATAAAATTATGTAGAGCCACTGAAGTAGCAACTATAGCTATTTGCTTATCAATTCTATAATTAGGCCATATATTTCAAAATTTTCCCCATCATACTGATCTCATTTATATGGAATTAAATATCCCTTTGTATAGACAGCATTAACCAAGTAGTATTTATCTACGATATAAAGTTATAACCATTTAATGACAGCACTATTTATATTGTTCACTTAATAAGATCAATTTTGAAGCGAAAAAATTCATAAATTAAAACACATATATAATAAGTAAGGAATTTGTGTAGTGGAAAACAATCCAGAAGAACAATAAAAAAAAAAATGCAAAAAAGCAGAGCAAACACCTCGTCTACGTATGTGTATATAGCTACCAACTTATCTTATACTCGGCATGTACTTATATCTTGATATGTATGGGAATTTCAAACAAATATATAGGGAGATTCTCTAGTACGCCTAATGTACTGGTAGGCTAGATTTTTCTAACCGTTAGATTGTACGTACTCTTTGATTTTTACGTGATTTTATACCAATCCAACGGACAAAAAACTTAACCTACTGGTATGTTGACGTACCAAAAAATGTCATATATATATATATATATATATGAGGATCAATTAAAGTACATGCTAATAAAGAAAAAAAGTTTTGATTCCAAAGCATTAGGAACTTGCTTTTAGACTCTAGAAGCCAAAAGCAAATGACAAACGACTCTAACAACTATATTTGCTATACTAGTTAAGTTGCATATGAATCCAATTTGGTTCATAATGTTAGCGCTTGTTGTCAATTCATTGCTACACTAGCTACTTAAGTTTACTTAACCCATGCGTATTAGCTATCCTATGCTTGCGTAATTACCATGACGATTCTAAAATGATTTATTGCTTTACATATAATTTTACAAACCCTACGTAGCTCCAAGAATATTATGAAAATTAATGAACTGGCTAGCAATGCATACCTTTTGTTCCACCCATCTTACATACATTAGCTTAGTTTATGGAATCATGTTTCATATTCCAATTGCTTTAACTTATTACCGTCCAATACAATTTTAGTTTGCTCCTATATTTTAATTATTGATCATTAGACGAATTGGTCTTAAACATCATGACATTAGTACGCTTATAATTAACACATCAGGCCTATTTACTTTTGTGGTTGAGAGATTTTTAGTTGTGACATGAATCGTATTTTTAATTGACATATCATACTTACTTCAAGTTTAGTAATATGAAAAAACAGCGTGCAAATCTGGATTAGAGAAATAACGTGTTAAGTGATATTATAAATGTAGGACCAAATCTAGCTACTAAATACGAGGATGTGGGCAAAATTAACATATCCTGCAATATGGATATTTTTTTGGTTTGGTTTATTCTATACAAACATATATAAAGAAAAATCGTCTCAATCGGAGTTGTTGTAATGAGAGAGTTATTTTTTTGTTTTAATTAGAACTTTTGAAACGGATCCCAAGAAAAATAAATTTGTTTTTGAAAAATTTAAAATCAATTACAAAGTAAGATTTCGTTCATTTTATCGATTTGAGTTTTCAGTTCTTAGTTTTTACAGTTAAAAACTCTCAAAAACTGTCACATCTAACTTTTTCTGCTACAGTTAAAAGCTCTCAGAAAATACAGTATCTCAGCTCGAATTGAAAACTCGAATCTGCAAAGCGAACGAGAAGTTTAACCAGTTACGCTGATGTCATTTATTAACATAACCGTATTTATTTTAATCATAAATCCTTATAAATTTGCAATAAAACCCTTGCATGTTTTTCTTATTAACGTATAAAATAACCTAGCTACAATACAAAATTAACCGGCGATACTCGGTAGGATGCATGAACAGTAACCCTCTTATGCACTGGGCATGTCACATAATTGCAGACTTCTTCCTGACATTTCCAACTAAGAGCTGCCACGTGTTGGATGCTTCAAACATCGGATGGACCTTAGAAAACGCGTAAGAATATTTATATATATATGTTATCTGGAATAACTTTTTTCGACCCAATCAGAAAGCCAGAGCCTGAAATTAATGGATATATTGTTCATATATGCTTCCGATTTAAATCACGTTGTATAATCATTTGAACTACGTCTATAAATGAAGCACAGCATGCAGCTTGGATATGCATACCTAGAGATAATCTGAAGAAAATTATTAAGAGCTTGAGTTACATAGATCATATATATATATATATATATATGGAAAATGGAAAGGTTGCTTTCCCACGAGATCGATAGAAGCATGCTCATTCCAGGAGATCATATTTACACCTATAGATGGGGTTACATTTATTCCCACCATGGTAATAATCGTTAATTTCACTTTATTTTTAGTCCAGCATGCATGCAATTATATATAATATTATCACGTACTTAAGTTTATGATTAAACTCTATAAAACAAAGATAAAGCTATATATATATATATATATATATGTATGTATGTAATATTGCTCGTCATAGAATAGTTTGGTAATTTTGAAAATAAATAAAGATGGTTGTTCAGTTTTTAATTCTGTTTTTCTATTTCGTCCTTTAGCTATTGGTGAGCTGAAGGTTGTTATAGCTTTTGTTATTCTCCAGCCGCCACATAATTATATCATTCCGATTGTAATTCTGAAATTGAGTAATGAGAATTCAGCTTTTGCCTCATCCTCTTATCCGTATTCTCTGATATATAATAGCTCGGAAGGGCGACTTATAATACATATTTAATAACGTCCTCATTCAATAATTAATATATGTATATATATATATATATATAAAAGCTCTACGAGCCTAATTCAATTGGAAAAAGTATAATATATAGTAGCCTCTAGCTATCTAACAGAAAATTTTTATCGTATTGAAAAATTTTTCTCGCTCCACCGTTACCCTAAAACGCCATCAGTTGTAACATGCCATTAATTAATTGTTGATATACTTGATAATGTATGTTTGACGGTAAAATTTTGTCAAGAGGATTATGTGAGAGAAATTCGGATTTGGAAGTATGAAAAGAATATAGAAAGCAAGAAGAGGGTTTGAGGCGTATATGAATACTTTCCTTTAAGGTTTTATTTGCCATCACTTCTCAAAGTTTGCTAATGAGTTTTAATGGCAAATTACCCCCAAGATACAACAAACTCTTAAACACAATATCCAGCAAAAAATATTGAGTTCCAGAACAATCACAAGTCTGTATTTTCTGAATACATTAATTAAAGATAATGATACATACATCCTCTTTAAATGTTGCAACCTTTCACATAAAGATATCTTTTCCAATCTGAAGGTTATCTTTTATATGCTGATGCACTTATAATAATAGTTATTCTATTGTTAATAAGTACTCAGATATGTGAGAAAACATATCACAAATGGATGCAATGGTTCAAGACCTTTTCAGATCACTAAAACACACGAAAACACGTTTTTCGGTAGCAATTTACGCTGCAGCGAATGACATTCACACTGCAACGCTCGGGCATCGCAAAACAGACCCGAGAGGTCTGTTTTGTGCGCACTGCAGCGCCCAAGAGGCGCGCTGCAGCGCGTCCGTGCGCTGCAGCGCTCGGGCATCACTAAACAGACCCGAGAGGTCTGTTTTGTGCGCGCTGCAACGCCCAAGAGGCGCGCTCCTGCGCGCGCTTGTGCGCGCCTGTTCTTTCCGAATGTGTTTTAGGCCAATATTTTTGTGATATCGAAATTGAGAGATATATTATAATCTCTCTAACAGATTATGTTAGATTACCACTCGGTAATTGGGCGAGTTACTAATCAAAATTAGTTATATTATCGAGAAAGTGCAACTGGTTGTGTGTGAGTCTTCAAGGTGTTTTGAAGTGGTTATGGAAGTATCATTAAATCAAGAGAACACCGGAGATTATAGTGGTTCACCCTATAATAAGATAGCTACATCAACTTGTTATTGTATTTCTCTATCTTTCCTTCTTCAAGGGTTACAGAATCCGGAGTCTCTCTCCCTCTCTCTCTCTAGGGCCTTTCCCCTTTTATATCTCACAGATTACATATAGACGGACCATGACAGGGGGTTGTCTGATGGCTTCTCTCGAGTAGCCTATTGTTCTACCTACCTAGACCATAACTTTTCAGCACCTTTTAGATTGTTCACTCACCTACTTTGTCTACTATTGCGGCTCTGGGGATCTTACATGACTTCTATCGGTCCGTTCTGCTGAGAATTTCGATTCATGCATGCCTCGACTGTGTATAAGGTCGACGGGTACATGCCCACTGTCAAAAACGTTCAAGGATTACCCTAAAATGCCCCATACGGCCGACTCTTTTACCATTGAGGGAGAGAGAAATGAGATTTGGACGTCGACCGCTGTCTGATGTGGCGGGTAAGAGCCACGTAGAACTCGGTTGTCATCCCACATAACAAAGCATATTTTTCCACACAACAATATATATTAAACATTCATATTAGTACGTATAGTATTCATGTCCTGTATTGTTTGAATATATATATATATATGCAGGGATATATGTGGGTGGAGATAGGGTCGTCCACTTCAAAATGGCAAACTTGCTTCTAGTGCCGTCAAATAGGCCGCGTTGTAAGAACTGCGGGTACGACCGGAGAGCGCAGCTAGCAGATGCGGTGGTAAAAACCTGCCTTGACTGTTTCCTCAAAGGGGACAGACTCTTTCGTTTTGAGTATGAAGTTAATGGCCTCTATTACATGCTCAAAAATCCAGGAAGTTGCACCACCAACAAGTGCGACCCAGCAGACGTTGTCATCAATCGCGCCCGCAACGCGTGCATCAAAGGTTTTGGTAAGTACGACTTGGTCGAGAACAACTGCGAGAGCTTTGCTTTTTACTGCAAGACAGGCACCCGCATAAGCCACCAAGTATTGGCTGTCAAAAATATAGCTAAACTAGTTGTGAATGGTGTAATTATTTATCAAGTCGGGAGGCTTCAAGATGATATTGGAATAAAATATATTAAAAAGGATGTAGGTGAGACAGTATGGGCGGAGCCAGAAAAATAAGTCAAAAGGGGTGAAGACTTGTACTAAATTAAGTTAATCTATAAGGTCATATTTAGTAACTTGTATTATATTGTATTGTCATAATAAAATACAGTGTTTAGTATCGTGACGTATTGTACAAGAGATCAAAATATAATTTCTCAAAAATTTTGGAATCAAAATGTAATTTTGTAAAAATTGAGGGGTCAAAACGTAATTTTTAGAAAATATTTATTTGTGTTGTGCTCCTAAATTTTTAAACAATTATAGGCTCTAGTATGGCTTTATGTCGGCCCAACTTCGACCTCTAATCGTGTCCAATCCCGACATGAATCATGAATCCGCTATAAAATAATACAATACATTATGCTAAAAATGAGCCATATTCAATAATATGATATAGACCTCATAATTTACTATTCGTATTAGTTTATGTAATACGATGGTCACACCAAACATTGTATTATTTGTATTTTAATATAATACAGTGCTCTAATACTATCAAACAAACATGCCCTTAATGAACTGTGCTGTTATAAGGTGAGCCAAATTAAAAACTTAAGGCTTTCAAAAAAAAAAATTAAGACTTAGAGTGCGTTTGGTTTAAGGATTCGTGTCATAGTTTGAATTATGGTTCATGGCTCACTACAGTGTTTTTTCTCACAAAAAGTACACGTAAATCGATAATAGTTCTGAATCATAATTCTAAATCTATCAACCAAATGGAACGACCGCCTACTCTCGACGGTAGATGACTTTGTCTTATATATGTATACGTACTTATGTATAGATGTAGTTTTTCTTTTTTTCTTTTTTTCCCATAAGTATATGTATTCATTGATTTGGGCAATTGTTGGATTTATCATGTTTTCTTTAGGTGTTGTGTATCAAGGTCTAATGTTCTATGCGTCAGAATATTTTTACCTGGAATATTTGGGTTGTAATTGAGAGAGTGTCCTTGTTGTTATTTTGTTACTGGGTCTTGTGTATCCAGATACTTTTTAGGAGCAATATTGTAATTTGTAAATTCTGTAATCTGAAACTCCACTTGAGTTAAAAAAATGAAGATACGTTTAAACCATTCAAGCAGCACAAGCTTGATTAGAAGCAAATTAGTATTGCACGAGAGTGAAACGACCTTGGCTGCTTCTGGTGTCCTTTTCAAGTTCGTTGTGATTTTTTGCGTTTGTTGGAGTTTTCTACAAATGTTTGTTAATGTCCTTTTAGAGGATCATGTCATTTTTACCTTGATTGTTTTTTTTTCCTTTTTTTTTTTTTTTTTTTTTTTTTTTTTTTTTTGAAGTTTCTTTCGTATATTAATGATCTCATCATATCCTCGTCGTTCTCTAATATTAGTATTGTCGTTCATTGTGTTTACATGTCGTTTCTACGGTTGGTTCATTTCTCTTTTATTTTTATTTTTTATAAGAATTAATTTCATAAATATCTTCAAACTATGTACCCTTCTTTAAAATATCTCCTGAACTTTTAAAACCACTCAAAATATTCCCCAATCTGTAGAAAATTATTTTAAATGCCCCTTCATCTTTCTCCATTTATAATTCTGATGATTTTATTGACGTGACATTTATTAAAGATTTTCAAAATGTATTTAAAATATAAATTGTAAATTAATAAAAATAGAAACATGACTCTCCTCCAATGGTATTAATTACTACACATGAGAAACAGTAAAACAAGCTACGATTCTCAGGTTGCCGTCTCTTCAGCGAATTTTACCTCGATGTCAGCTTAAATGTCGTTAGTTTTTAAATTACTGTTCTTTTTTACGTTCACGAGTATTTTTTTCTTTGGTATCGTACCTGCCGTTTAATGTTGATGTCAGTTTTTAATTATTGTCCTTATTTTCCGGTGACGTTGTCGTTTACGAAGGTTGTCGTTGTTGTTTTCAGCATGGTGTTTTCTAGGTTTTGTTGTCGTTTTCCATCCTTGTGTTTGTCTCTTATGTACGTCTGCTTAAGGATGTTGTCGTTTTAAGTTGATTTTTCTATATTGTTGTCGTTTACAGAGGATATTGTCGTTTGCTAAAAATTGTGTTGCTATTTGGTGTGTGATAGAGAGAGAGTGTTAGGAACCTAATATTTAGATGTCTTTTCGAATAGTCTTAAGGAGAGTATAAATAGGGGGTTTAGTGGCTAGGGAGGGGATAATCAGATTTGTAGAGAGTGTCTAGTGCTGTGCACTATTTTGGAGGTCGGGGGTCCTCGAAACCGCCCATCTATCTTGTAATTTTTCATTTCTATTATTGTGAATGAAGCATAGATTTTCAAGATCCTAACAATGGTATCAGAGCATCTACGATCCATGGAGCTTTTTGAGTTAAGAGAGAAACTTAGGGCTGTTCTAAGAGCTAATCTTAAGGTTTCCGGAGGGAGTATGGGGGGCTCCGGGACCAAGTGGGGGAAGGTTCGGACTCAGATGGAAGATGTGCAGGCGGTGCTGCAGAGGATGGAGGCACTGCTGGCGGCGCGGCCAATGGCCGGGAAGGCCGAGTTGGGTCGCGACAGTGATCGACAAGATGGGAAGAGGCGAGATCGCGCGCCTCGGGGCGAGGAGAGCCCAGATCACGTCGACCCAGGCGGAGTGGAGGTGCCAAATCGAGCGGATCTTCACCGGGAAGCGCCGATTTGTGAAGATCGAGGCCGCGAGAGGGAGTTCCGACGCCGGAGAGATGTGGGTGTCATGGAGGACCGCGAGATCCGTCGCGATCTGGGGCTGGGTGGTCCGGATCTGTAGCGTGAGGGGTTGTTTGAAGATGGGAGGAGGGCAGATGGAGGTCGCGACCGTCGGGAGAGGGCGGCGGAGCTTGTTCGGCGACGGGAATCAGAGTGCGAACCGGAGTTAGAGGAGGAGAGGCTTGCTCCGGGGCTGGGACGACATGGGTACCTTCGAAACAGGGAACCCATCCCTGTTTCGGTCGCGGTTGGGGTTGATTCCGGACTGATTTGGACCGGGCCTCGCAATTCCAGCGTGAAAGGGGCTGAATCCGGTGCTACGGAGACAGATCCCGGCGCGACGAAGGCTGGGCTCGACGATTTGGCTGCTGTTTGGACCGGGCCTCACGATTCCGGCATGAAAGGGGTTGGTTCCGGTGCTATGGAGGAAGATTCCGGCGGAATTGGAGTGGGCTCCATGAATTCTGACGCCCTTAAGGCTGGGTTTTGTGATTTTGACGCCATTAGGGCTAGCTCCGGCGAGATGATGGCTAGGATGGGGAATTTCGATGCGAAATCCGGCGATTTTGGAGCTGAATCCCAAAATTCTGTTCGGAAGTGGGCTGGGTTTAGTGTTTTTGGTATGGGTAGAGTCAATTTTGGGGTTGGGCCTACTAATTACAATATTAGTAGGCCTAATTCTGGTGCAATGGCAGTCGAGCCTCAACACTTTAACACGTTTGGGGCTGGGAATGGTACGATTGCAGATGGCAATGAAGAAATTGGTGAGAGTGAGGCTGAAAGGTTGATGTCTTGGTTGGCTAAGAAGGAAACTCCCTTAAGGATCGATTTGCCAATATTTTTTGTGACCATTGATGAGCTTGCGCAGAGAGTTTCAAATGAATTGATAGACTTTGTGGTTGCTTTTCATGATACAAAGAAGATGGTGAAGAAAGTAATTGATTGGCTCCAATTTGAAGATATGATTTACGAGGATAACATCAATTTGGTTACTCAAATCAAGGAACTAACAAAGCCTTTTTTCTTAATCATTTAGGTGTTATTTTTCAATTTTATTTCTTGATTTTCACCTTGAGGACAAGGTGATTCTTTGGGGCGGGGGTAATGTTAGGAACCTAATATTTAGAAGTCTTTTTGAATAGTCTTAAGGAGAGTATAAATAGGGAGTTTAGTGGCTAGGGAGGGGATAATCAGATTTGTAGAGAGTGTCTAGTGCTGTGCACTATTTTGGAGGTCAGGGGGCCTCGAAACCGTCCATCTATCTTGTAATTTTTCATTTATAGTATTGTGAATGAAGCATAGATTTTCAGGATCCTAACAGAGAGAACGAGCGAGAGGGAGAGAGAGCGAGAGAGAGCAAGAGAGAGAGAGAGAGAGCGAGCGAGAGGGAGAGAGAGAGAGAGGGAGAGAGACAGAGAGATATAGAGAGACAGAGAGAGAGAGAGATGGAGAGGTGCAAAAATTTCAATTGAGACGTAACATTTTTCCGAAACAAGCATATAATGAGACATGAAAACAATGCCGAACATTGATAGATACAACAAGATAAAGCATAAATGTGGGCAACACTTCAAAATGCCCTGATGAATAGGTATTTAACAAAAGTTCTCAGTGGACCATCTACCTGATTGAGTGTTCTCATTTATTGTGTTTCGGGACCATTTAGCGACATATTTCAACGATGCATAATTTTTGCTGGAAAATACTCCCTCGAATTCTGCCTCTTAATTAATAATAGACATATTGGAGCAACAACACACACACACACACACACATATATAATAGGTTATATACAAGTGGCAGTGTGGCACAGATCTCTGTGATCTCTGAAGTTACATGAATAAATCGATCGAATGTAATACTTAGAAAGTGCTTAATTACTATATCTTTCTGACTTTCAAAGTTGATTAGCTAATTACAAATAGCGCACGTTCATGACCATTTCATGTCTTTACTATTCTCATCTTACTTATATATGTTCATGCATGCATATGGTTGGTAGTCAGAAATCAAAGTCAATGTATAGTTAAAAGAAGGTAAACACCTTGATAGTGGACAATAATGAACTCGTGAAATTGCTTGAGATGCATTACTTGGAAGCTTACTACAAAATGCTAATTGATAAGAGTCAAATTGTCAGCAAATTAAAATATTCTTACTGCAAGTTGTGAGATCTCTAATAACTTGCATTTTTGTCTATCAAATGGGAGTTTATTGAATATGTCTTTTCTCACATTCTTTGTACTATTTCAAGTCTCATAGAGCAAAAGTCTTATAATATAGACGTAAGAAGAGAGATGGGGTTGATTTCTAATGAGATTGATAGGAGAATGCTCAAAGCAGGAGACCACATTTACAGCTACCGAAACTTGGAAATATTTCCCATCATGGTGTAGTTTATTTGCATGCATCAATTAGCTTTAACTATAAAAAGTCATTATCATGTTAGTTATAACTTTAATTCTTAACTAGTTAAACTCCTGAAATTTCTTTTCTACTCTCTCATTCAATGTGTACGCAGGAATATATGTGGGAGATGATAGAGTCATCCACTACACAAGAACACAACCGAGAATGATGGAAAGGGACTCCAATTTACGCTGCGGAAATTGTGGATACGAATTGAGGACGTGGCGAGGAGTTGCGAAAAATCTGCCTTGACTGTTTCCTCAAAGGCAATAGGCTGTTTCGCTGCGAGTATCAAGTCTCCGCACTGCATTTCATGTTCAAAATATCAGGGACTTGCAGCACCGGCTCATACGATCCACCAGATGTTGTCATTGGGCGAGCCAATGACATGCTGAAGGGTAATCAGTTTGGCAAATATGATCTGTTCGATAACAATTGTGAGAGCTTTGCCTTTTACCGCAAGACAGGCAACCGCACGAGCCCGCAAGTGTTTTCTATCAAATTTGCAGCAAAAATAGCTCTTGATGCCGTAGTGAAGCATAAGCTTGAGAGGCTTCAGCATGATATTTTAGTACATCAAAAAGAAAACTAAAGTTGAATTTTTGTGGAGATAATATGTTTGCATGTTGTCACTTCTATCAACTGATTTTGTCTCCTGCTCCATGTTGTTTTGTTTTAAAGTTGGATAAATATAATAGAACCAATGGACCAGTTCTGAGATATAGTAGCGTCTGGAGGTTAGTTGTTTGGTGATTTTATAGCAACTAGCAAGTGAATTATTTTAGAGTTTCTTGCATTTGAGAGCGTTGGTGATTCGTTCCTGAGAAAATGGAAGAAACTTCTGCAATATTTTTGTGGTCATTCGTTATTGGATTCTTTTGTTGTTGTTTCCTGGTTTTGGGGCTGGGATTCATGACAGCTTTTATGGTTTTTGGGCTGAGAGAGAGAGAGAGAGAGAGAATTTCACGAGCATAACCAAGCATTTCATATTAAGATAAGATATCATGGAATCATATCCCACGAACATAATCCATACATGCATAATTGGGTTCAGTTGCTCTGCAATGTTGACGAATACAAAAGATTCCACTAAACTTTCCCACTTTACTATGAACATGAAACCAGCGTCTATGTATTGGAACCTATTACAATAGGTTAACAAACGCTATATTATTTATTTATATATGTATTCCTTGATCAGTTGCTCTGCAATGTCCCAAGGTATCCCCTAGTGCATGGGAGGCTTCTCCAAGTCCTCAATACTGGTGGGGCGGAACCAGGCCTTCTGCTCCAGAACAGAGCCCTCACCTCCGGCATCAGCAGGTGCGGCAGCCTGGAAGTCACGCCCACCACCTGCGTCGGAGGAGTGCTTGGTGGCAGGCCCAAAAACCCCAGTTTGGGGGTCGGGGGCCCAGTACTTGTCAGACGTAGGGGGGATCACTTCATCCGGTAGCACACTCGGATTGGTGTGCTCATCAGGGTTCTTGTCGTACGCTGAGGTATGAGCAGCTCTCCTGAATATCAATCGCCAATTCAATCAATTACAGTGAGTCCAAAATTAGGACAAGTATTTAATTTTAACAACACCACCATGACCATGTAGAGAATAAGCTAATTAGACACACCCCCAAAAAAAGGCTACATTGTTAAAGTTATTACTAATTAAAGACTGCTTATTAGTAGTTCAAATTTCTAAATTAGGGGGAAATGATTTGGTAAACATGAGCAATTATGCGTTTCACTAACTAGGCTTCACGACAAATATATTCATAAAGCAACAGTAAATATCAAGTAAACCAACCAAATTAGCTATAGTTGATGTATCATATGGTTGAACTGGCCCACGTAGTTAAAAAATATAATTAGTCAGCAAAGTTACAAAGCACTCCCAGAAGCTAAAAAAAGGTAGAGATTAGCTATCATTTATTGAAGATAAGGACCCACATGACTTTTGAGTAAGGCGACAAAGGATGGTAGGGTTAGGTTATAATTTCCCATCATCCCCTGTCCTAGTCATCTTACGGAAGAACGCCAATTGTTACCTTCTTATCGCACAAAGTTCAGCACATAATGTTTATCCAAATCAAATCTCAAAGCGTAGAAAGATGGTTTGGGCAATCCGACCACGTGGTCCTAACTAGAGAGGGTTAGATAACATATTCAAAGTGTGCCTGCGGTGCCCTAATCCAAAAAAGTGCCTATAGTGTCCTACCATAACGTGATTGTTGTTCACGTGAAAAATAAGCAACGTCATAATATATAATAACTGGGAACCGACCAACTACTTCTTCCTTTCTGAAAAAACAAATGATTTTTTCCCACTATCCACGCTTTAATACACGAGGCACAATGGTTATATATATAACATAAAACGAGACGAAGTTAAAGATAAGAAGCTAATGTTAATTGGCAGCGACTGCTTGTCTACACATAAGCATCCTTATCGCAAAACTTTGTCGTCATAAGCCGAGAGGACCACTCAGAGAGTCCTCTGATCTTAGAACCTATTTACGGTTCACCCCAGGACAAACACTGAAAAAAATATTCTCGAGTTTTCAAAAGCAATAAGTTGCTTAAATGAGACTGGCCAAACTGGCCTGATAAAAACAAAGATGCATAGTAAAAGAATAAGGGGAAAATTTAACGAGAAGCATAAGTCAGCATGAAAATGTAAAACAGGATTCGTTTTTGTTATAAAGATAGAAATCTAATACACAAAACCTTGGAAAAAAAGAAGAATTAGTAAAATAAACAACCATAACATGTTATCTCAGACTCGCAGTGTCGGACTATTTAAGCCTACAATTCCAAATTCTTTCAGATTCCATGCTAAAATAAAAGTCAACCAAACCATCTCTTCCATTGGACATACTTTTCACAAAAGTGGCAAATGGCTAAGTGGCGAAACCAGGTCCGGCCGTGACAACACCAGATAAGGACCCAACTTGGAAAAAGATCATGGTTAGAAATCAGGATAATGACTTAAGCAATAAGCGCACAGCTTTGTAGCTTAATTAGGGGTCAAAGGCAATAGTTTCTTCTTGTTTAACTCCCTATTATAGGAAAATTTGAAATACAGTAACCAGCTGGGTTAATAGCTGAATTACGAGCCATGACTTTTTAGGATAAATTTTTTTCTAGTCATTGCTCAAAGATGAGAAAAAAAAAAATCCAGATGAATAAAGACCAGAGAACGTTCTGATGATTAAATAGAGAAAAAGTCCCTTAAATCTCCAAGCAGAAGAACTTTCAAGAATGTTGGGAACAATCATAATCCCAAATTCATTAAAACCTACAATTAAGCAAAGTAATTTTTTTTTTTTTTTTTTTTTTTTTTTTTTTTTTTTAAAAAAAAAAAAAAAAATTTTTTTTTTTTTTTTTTTTTTTTTTTACTATAATAAGAAGAAAATAACTGTTTAATAACGACAATATTTACTTAGTCTAACATGCATTTCAGGGAAGCGGCTATATTCCATTTTCCATACAAACACAAGGAATATGATTGCATTCAAAATGGGTCACCCAGGAAGGCCACAAATAACGGCCATTGACTTAAAAAATAATAAATAAATAAAAGTGAAAAGATACTTCTTTTAATCCTGTTTATTTTTGTGTTGCTGAGAAAATAGAAATGCTTCTTCGCTTTAGCATGGACACGTGAAATAGAATACCAAAAAAGAAAAAGAAAGGCGAAGAAGTAAGAATACCAACTGTACTATTACGGCAAGATGCTTTCTGTACCAAAATATCATCCCTTCCTCTTTTTTTTTTTTTTTTTCTTGAAAGAACAATTAACATTCGATGAAAACGAAGCTCCGATCAAAGCCATGTGGCTGAGAAGGAAAGCTAAAAGCATACGTCTTTTTTTTTCCCCCAATACCCCACACTATTACGGCAAGATGCTTTCTGAACCAAAATATCATCTCTTCCTCTTTTTTTATTTTCTTGAAAGAACAATTAACATTCGATGAAAACGAAGCTCCGATCAAAGCCATGTGGCTGAAAAGGAAAGCTAATAGCATCTTATTTACAGAGAATGTAAAAGGTAACTAATAGAGACACACCTCGGTCACGAATATAATTTAACAGACAAATCATCTTGAACGTAATTGATTTTATTCCTTTTTTTCTTTCTTTTGTTTTTTTCCCCCTTCCGAATGATCCTCGATCGCCTTTGGGAAAGAAAATCTTAACTAAAAAATTTAATGTTTTCCTTCTATCCAAACAAACTTACAGAGATATAAACAAGGAAATGGCATAAAGAATGACGGTTGATTCGTTGAAATGGAAAGAATCCTATTTATCAAAATCACGCTAGAAACCACGGATTAAGTTTATCAAAATCCTTAAAAGTTAAAACATAAAAAAACACTTCCAAAAAAGCAACCCAGGAATCACAGCGTTTTCAGTCTTTTTCAAAATAATCCTTGCCTTCTAACAAAAGCAATAGTAACAGAAACTTCTGTAAGGATAAACATCAACCTTTTCCCTCCATCCAAACAAACTTCCAGAGATTTCCAGGAAATGCCATAACGATTAACGACGATCAATCAAAATTTCCAGCAGCCAAAATTTAAAGCTACTTTAGTCCTAATCAACTGGTCTAATAACACGTTCAAAATCACCGGTTTAAGTGATCACGATCCTCAAAATTAACAAGAGTAAACATTTTCTCAGGAAAAAATCAAAGAAAAAAACCAGGACGAAGTAGGAGAAATTAACCTGACGGTGGCAGCAGAGGAGGAGAGAGCGGATCGGTGGCGAGAAGGATCGCGGGTCCAGATCTGGTACTCGGCGATTCGCTTCCCAAAGTTGACGATCCCTCGGCTACTCGAATTGGCGGCCATACAATTGAGAACTGAGCACCAAAGAGCTAGAGAGAGAAAATCTAGTGAGAGAAAGAGTAAGCTCCTGCGTTTTGGCTGTTCGCGAGTCTGACGGATGTCGATGAGAGTTCTTATAGAGAGAGAAAATGAAGAGGATAGAGAGAGGAGAGAGAGAGAGTGGGGAGTAAGTGTCCCGTGTATGTCTCCTATCTTACCCGCCCCAATTCCAACGGACTCTCGTTCCACCTACCCAATGCCCCACTACTACTCCTACCGTCAAAATCTAGCTTCACTGTCCCGTACGCTTTTGGTACGTCCAAGCGGTGTTGTTTTATACCTCTTTGACGGACGTTTGCCTCTCACTGTAAAAGTACGCGAGTTGGACGCGGGATAATTGGTTTGGAATATTCGGGTGGGAGTTAACGCCGTTCAACGTTACCGTTGGGAGATTTGTCCGGCATTCAAAATATGCTCTCTTTTCCCTAAAAAAAAAAAAAAAAAAAAAGAAAATTACACATATGATTCTTAAACTCTTTAAAAAGTGATAGTTTAATTTTTAAATTTTTTTTGACGAAATAAACTTCAAATTATTTAAAAGAGTGTGATGTAATTTTTTTTGTCAGATGTCGTCTAAAAAGTAACGATATAATAACTTAAAAGAGTGACATTATAGTCATTTATTTATTTATGAGGTGATTTTTTAATTCCAATCGACTTTAATAGGTTAAGATTTGGTTTCTATTTTTTGATGACATTTAACGGAAATGATGACAATACACCCTTTTAAATGGTTTGAGATTCGTCAACAAAAAAATTTGAGGATTAAACTATCACCTTTTGACAAGTTTGGGGATCATTTGTGTCGATTATCTAAAAAAAATCTCTTCATTAATTGACTGTTTTACCCCTTAAGAATTGTCTTTCATGATCTTCTTTTTCTTTTTTGGAAAGTTTTTTTTCTATATTTTTCAATTCCGAAAAAAATGATTTTTTGCCTATCAAGTTCTTATGTTAAACTTGCAGAAGCTAATAATACAAAGAAAAAAAGACACATGACATCACAAAAAATAATAAAACAAACAGCCAAATTTAGATCTCATTAATCTCAACAAAAAAAAAATACTCATTAGAGACAATCACACAAGATAAGAATGGAGTGGAGAATTCAAGTGAAAGTTAATGCCGTTATACGTCATTGTGGGGTGATTATTCTTGATCAGCATGGAAAACGCACTCTTTGGTGTAATGACTGTTTTACCCCTTTGAGGAAGTTCTCTAGATTACTCTCTAGACCGTTTGTTGACCGTTTGGTGATTAACGGACTTTTTTAGCTAAATCCAAACGAATATCCCATTAACCAAATAGAATATTATACTTGATTAGCAAAAAAATATATATATATATATATATATTATACTTGGTATTCAAACTTAAACCTTATCATATTATCTTATTGTGTTATTTCAATGAAAAGAATAAAAAAATAAATTATCTGGGGGAGGACAGTAAGGCGTTTTCTGTTATCAATTGTTATCTTGGGCGAATACACAAAGGCCATGTTGTTTTCTTTGGTGTTTTAAATTGTGGAAAACAAAGCACTGACTAAGTGTCAATAAATTTAAGTGTGCTAACTCAAAATCAAATAAAAATAAATTAATTAGCTTTGTGCGCATTAAACGCCGGTTCAATTGGAAAAGGCTTTTAGATAAGATGCATGAATATGGTGTGGGTTGTTCAGGAAGAAATGAAAAAACTCTTTCTTTTTTTATCATCTTGATCTATCATTTATGTACCCAGATAATGAAATAACGAGTCCCATAACTTGGGCCAAAAAAAATAAAATATAGGGCTTATTTTTTTAGAGTTTAACTTGAGTATAATTTTTGAGTTGAATTTAAGTTATAACTTAAGTTGAACTTGTAACTTGAGTTTGTGTTTGGTTGTTTACATTTGAGTTTTGGTTTGAGATAAGAATCTTTTTGAGTTTGTGTTTGAGTGAGTCAAAACTTGAATTTGTATTTAGATCGTATTTTAATAAAAACTCAATACTGATGAAAAATTTTAATAGGGTATATGGGTCGGGTTTTATTCGTCTTTTCGTTGTCAACGCATAGAAAAAAAATCATCTCAATCAGAATTAAAACGAAAAAGTTATAACATTTTTAAGAATAAAAAAAATACTGTTCATTAATTTGAGTCGAGTTTCTGAACTCGAGTTAAAGGAGAAACTTGAACTCGAGTTTTAGTCCTAAACTCGAGTTTGAACTCGAGTTTCAACTTAAAAGAACATGAACTCGAATAAAATTGTAACTCGAGTTGCATTTTTTTGAGTTTTTCACTCAAAAGAACAAGCTCATATATATTAACGATAAACGAATTCCACCAAATATTTTAAATAAGGATCTGTTTAATTTATTAATTTAAATTGAGATATTATTTTATATAAATTTTTTTTTATTATAATAAAAAAATTAAATTTAACTGTTTTTTAAAATTATTTATTGTAATAAAAGTCAAATTTTAAACCGGCGAAGAGAATGAGATTTTAAGAAGTGGCATTTGCTAGTTAAGGTAATTTAATGGGTTGGTTTTCGGCCACTGTAATCAAATGGACTTTAACCAGTGACCCAATTGTGGCCAACGCGTTTGTTGGGCCCGTAAGAGAGAATTTTTTTTTGGGAAAGAGGCTAATAATATGAAAAGCTTAAAAAAGTATGTACGCGAATTTTTAGTTATAGAAATTAATAGGTTATAATTTGTTAAGTTATAGTTTATAATCAAATAAATTATGGATAAACTTGTTAAGTTATGGTTCATAGCTAGATAAGTTATGAATAATTATGGACAATAACTTGTCAAGTTATGGTTTATAACCAGACAAGTTATGGACGAAAACAATAATTTGGTCTATTTATTAACTTATGTAAACTATTGGCCTATTAATTTTAATTCATCTCAAGTCTTGACTTATTTCTCTCTTTCTCCCTAGTAGAAAATAGGCAATATGAAAAGCTTAAGAAAGTATATAGGCCAATTTTTAGTTATAGAAATTAATAGGTCATAATTTGTAAAGTTATGATTTATAACCAGATAAGTTATGGACAAATTTGTCAAGTTATGGTTCATAGCCAGACAAGTTATGGACAAAAACCGTGAATTATGGACAATAACTTATCAAGTTATGGTTCATAACCGGACAAGTTATAGACGAAAACAGTAATTTGGCCTATTTATTAACTTATATAAACTATTAGTCTATTAATTTTAATTCATCTCAAATCTTAATCTATTTCTGGGAAAAAAAAATGAATGTTCGTAACGATATAGCACATAAGTCTGTAACATAATCCTTAATAATATTTTTATTTTTTGTTAGCTACTCGTAACCACCTACACAAAAAGAGTATATTTAGAATAATATTATCTCAATAACCATAAAAAATAGATTAATAATACTGTAATAGACAAATTCTAAACTATAAAAGTGGCATTTTATATAAATACTTCTAGCGATAATAACGTGGCCCAAATTTTAGCTCTTTTCCTTTGGCTCTATAAAAAGCTGAAGAAATTGAAATAATTGATTGTGCTTTTCTAAAAGAAATCTAAAACTTAATTTCCAATCTACTGGATTCACTCTTTCAAAAAAAAAAAAAAAAACGTTTTTTTCCTTCTTCTTTTTTTTTGAAAAGAAACATAATGGAAAAGGGTCCAATTTGTGGCTCACTTGGAAGAAGCCTAGAAAATATAAATAAACAATTAATAAATAAAAGAAAGAGTTAAATAGAATTTTTTTTAAAAATATATATATTTAAAACATGTATGATAAATATCATATTTATGATAAACGATTCATCTACAAAAAAAATATTTACCGTGAATATATTATTTATCTTAAATATTATAAATTTATCGAAAATAATTTTAAAAGAGGGCCTATTTGATACAATTTTACTAAATAAAAAAAAAAAAAAAGCTCTGAATATTTGTGGGTGGCTGGAAATGAAAGAGGTCGCGTGGCGAATGTGAGGCCTTCTTGGGATGCCAACCAACCAAAGGCTATCTCCCAACGCAAATGCAATCATGTCCACACCTTCAGTGAACCATCAACTACTACTCTTTTAACTCGACGTGTATATCCCTCACTACTCTCGGTCTCAATTAAGTCCTAGTGTCGTACCACCCAAACAATGTCGTCTTCTGTGGTCGCCGGTTCCTCCTCTTCCTGTGCCACCACCCTCAACACTCGCCGCCGCCACCACCACCACCACTCCATCAAAACTCCCCCCAACTCATTCTTCTCTCCTTCCCACAATTCCCAGGTACCTTAATTCTCATTCCAAAACCACCTCCTTTAATTTACGTACTTTTTTTTATTCTGATGAGATTTTTATAATCGGTCAATTTAGAATCGTAAAATACTAGTACATTATCTTTGTTTTTTAGTTATTGCACCATTTTGACTTGAAAAGTTTGCTCTTTAGAAAAGTGCGTTCCAGGGATTGTCTCTTCAAGAGGCCAAAAGGGATGTTGCCGATTCGTTTGTAGGTGAGAGTAAGGCGGGTTTGAGCAGTCAAGTGAGAAGAGGGCTTAATGTCACGGCCAGAACTGCCGGGGCTTCGAAGACCATTGAGGCTGATGTTGACAAGCCATTAGGTCTCACTTTGGGCCAAAAATCTGGTGGTGGTGTTGTCATCACTGTAAGTCCAACTATCTCGAATGTTTTACGTTTTAGTTGACTAAAATGGTTGACCTTGTAATTTAGAACTCTTTGACTCTGATGATATTGGTTAGACAAAGCTGTATTTGATCATAACATTTTTCCCATGATGATATTTTTGATGATTGGAAAGTTACGATGACGATTAATGTTAGGCTGTAGAAGGAGGTGGGAATGCAGCAAAGGCAGGGCTAAAAGCAGGGGACCAGGTGCTCTACACAAGCAGCTTCTTTGGGGATGAATTGTGGCCAGCAGACAAGCTTGGTTTTACCAAAACTGCCATCCAAGCAAAGCCTGACTCTGTCTACTTTGTTGTTAGCAGGTTTACTTTCCTTTGATTATCTCAATCCCGCCACTAATTTATGCCAACATGACGTACCATTCTCAATGGGATTTTTTTTTTTTCCCTAGTTAAGTTTTTCTTAAAAGAGTTACTGTTGGAATGAGATTAAAGGAAGTAGAACACATATCAAAAGTTCTCAGTTGTCCAATTTTCTTGTAGATACCGTACCTTTTTAAGTTTTTGAGTTTGTCTTTACCAATATTCAGCAATGTCATAAATACATGCCTATAACATAGAGCACATATAGGCCTAGTTCACTTCGCGAATTTGAGTTTTTAATTTGAACTGAAATATGAAATTTTTTGAGAACTTTTAACTGTAGTAGAAAAAGTTAGATATGATATTTTTTTAGAGCTTTTAACTATAGAAATCTGTAATTGAAAACTCAAATTGGTGAAATGAACGAGGCTATAATAATTCTATTGAAGCTTGGCACAATCGTTCATCATATAATAATTCCATTGAAGCTTGGCATAATCGTTCATCCATTTTTTGATGCAGAGGTGCTGAAGTAGATGTAAAACGATTACCAAAGCGCCCGGCGCCTCCCCGTTTCGGAAGAAAACTAACCGACGCTCAGAAGGTACAAGTATTTTTTCTGTGTGCGATTCAATTAGAAGTTAATAGGTAATGTTTTCTTTTGTAACATGTGAAATTTGTTTCATGTCTAATAATCACTAACCAAAACCACAATGTCATATCTTGTAGGCTAGAGCAACTCACATTTGCCTTGACTGTGGATACATATACACATTACAAAAACCTTTTGACGAGCAGGTAACTTTTCCTTTTCCCTCTAATTATATTAGATCAATGACTTAAACCAATTTTTGCTTGAGAATTAGAGATTCTGATCAAACTAACAGTTGATATATATATATATATTGTTTGGTTGTATGTTTTGTGTAGCCGGATGGATATGTATGCCCTCAATGTAGAGCACCAAAAAAGAGGTTCGCAGGCTATGACGTCAACACAGGGAAGGCTGTTGGCGGTAACTTGCCTCCCATTGGGGTCATTATTGGCCTGCTTGCTGGTGTTGGTGCAGTTGGAGCATTGCTTGTATATGGTCTCCAATGACCCTTTTATTCTTCCGTTCCAAAGATTAAAAAAAAAAAAAAAAAAATTAACTTGGTAATATCTGTAAGAGCAAGGATCAGCAAATTAATACAAACCTTTAATTCAAACTTTGTATATTGAGTTATCTATGAGACATTAATTATGAAGTCTCAACTTTTTCATAGGGACGAATATTATATTTGCTTTCTCTTCTAATAAATGGATACGAAGTTATAGTTTTTGTTGTTGTTTGTTGTTTCTTTTTCTTTTTTTTCCCCCCAACATTGCTTAAGGAAGTACAATGCTCTTCCCTTAATATAGCTTAAACAATGAAAACATCAACATATGTTTGCAGGCATAGCATATATAGTAAAGTTCACACTTAACTCTTATTATTTGTGTCACTATTTGTGTTTTTTTTTTGTTAAGGGATTTTTTGTCGTATTGGTGTCTTATTAGATGGGTCATAAAATTTATTTCCACACCTACTTTTAGCATAAAATCTATCCACCCAGAAAACAAAACTCAAAAGTTCAAAAAGAATCCCGGGGAAAAAAAAAACAAACAAACAAACAAAGAAAATAATCCCATAGAAAAATGCTCAATTGAATTATTTTCTTTACTTTGAAAACAAATACATATATGCAATCTGATCATACGGTCGATCACGTATTGTACATAAAAACATAGTTTTGTGTTTTTTACTAGTATTATTTTTTAAGTATCTTTAATAGATGATGACAATTCCAAGAAAGTGAAGATTTATTTATTTTTTATTATTATTATTATTATTATTATTATTAAATAACTCGTGAACTTAGGTTGATCCATATACACCGAGTACTTTCAAATTTTGAAATTCCTTCCTTTCAAAAAAAAAAAAAAATGAAATTCCTATTCTCTTACTAAAGTTTACCTAATTATGAACCAATACCGGTGGGATGAGAATCAGTTTCCGATCGATATAGATGGAAAAGATATATAACAAAAGATAAAGTGTTGTGTAATTTTTTTTTTTTTTTTTTTTGAGATCTCGTGAATAATGAGAGAAATATCCTAATAGAGTTGTACTAGAAAACTCCAAACTGATTATTTCCTCCTTTTTTCCCCTAAAAAAGCTGATTATCATTCTTTTTCTCCCTATTAAGGGCTATGAAAGAGAGATCTATACAGAGCTGAGATCGTCGCTGATGGAATAGCACAATCGCAACGATTATTATTAGCGTTTTCCTTAACATTGCTTAAATAATGAAAGTTAAATGTGTGCTTGTAGATACATGGCCTAAAGTTCACACATGTTATCTTTGGAACAAGGATCCGTGTCATGATTCGGATCATGGTTCGTGACTCGCTACAGTATTTTCTTTCACAAAAAATACACGTAAACCGAGAATAATTATGAATCATGATTTTAAATCTATGAACCAAACGTCTATCCATGTGAATATAGGATATACTATCTTAATGACATAAAATTAGGAAAACGTCCAAGCTTAACACAACCATTCTTGCACGTACACTGATAACTCCATGAAATGGAGTTATTTAGCATCTTTTGTGGATTAAAAAGTATGTTTGTTCTTGAGAATTTATTTAGTTTTTAATATTTTTACCTTATTTTTATTTCATTTTATTTTATTTGGAATTAATTTTATTTTTAGTTTGTTTTAGGTATTTTTATGTTATTTTATTTTATTTTTATTTAGTTTCCTTTCAAAATAATTAGTTTCCTCATTTATGTAATGAATTTGGTGACAGGTGGGCTTAATTGCAAACTTTTGAGCTGAAATGGGGTCAAAATGTAAAGAAACAAATCAGAAACTAAAAATAGAATTCGGACCAAGCAAAGCCCAATCTGGAGAGTAGAAAAACAAGCAGAACTCACTTTTGTAGCCGTCAGATCCGCAACACCAACGGACCAGTTGCGTGTGTGTGATTCACACTCCTCTCTGTGAGTTTCAGGCAGACAAATGTTTGCTTCAGCCATTCTCTCCGTGCCACGTGGCGAGCTTGTCTCCCACTATCTCCTTGCTCCCAATCCGGCGCTGCCACTTGTCTAGGTTTCTTATCTCCTTTTGTGCGTGGAATTAAAGGCAATTGGGGTGGGTGATGAGCATTTCTTCCGGCCCTCATACGAGTAGGGCCGGTAATTTCAGACATGACACGATGAAACGACACGAAAACGATACGAGATAAATGGGTTTAGACCGCACGATTATTAATTGGGTCGTTAACGGGCTGACATGAATAACACGAAAATAAACGGGTTGGATTCGTGCCAGCCCGTTTAACACGCTTAACCCGTTTAGTTATACGGGCCGTAATCGGGCCATAATCAGGCCGTTTGCATGAAGGGTGTTTGATAAAAGGGTTAACTTAATATAACACTCTAACTTTTAAATAAGTTATGGCATGTTGATAAAATTACAAAATGCCAATGGATTTGTAGATGGATGATTTGTAGATGGACTTGTAGATGGTTGATTACAAAATGCCAATGGATGATTTGTAATGGATAAACCTAAACTTTAAATATGTTTTATGCTTTATGCACTTAAATATGCCAATGGACTTGTAGATGGTTGATTATATTTTATGCACTTAAATTTTCAAATATTTGGTTATGTTTTTAAACTTATTTAAATGTACTTGGTTATGTTTTCAAACTTCTTTAGATGTTTAGTAATTGGTATGTTTTGAAACATATGTCATAAGTGATGTTTTAGATATTTTAATATGTGTTGGCTATTATGCATGAATTTAACTATAAGTGATATTAAGTAGTCAATTAATATAGTTTTGAATACAATATAAAATTCACTATTTTTGCTAGTTGGGTCATAAACGGGTCATAAACGTGTTTTTTTCATGTCGGCCCGTCACGGCACGTTTAATAATCGTGTTTGCGTGTCGTGTCGTGTTAACCGTGTTATTAGCGTGTCGTATTCGTGTTTGGATTTTTGACATGTCGTGTTCGTGCTCACTATAATCGTGTCGTGCCGTAATCGTGTCAGCCTGAACACGGCCCGCGAACACGAATTGCCAGCCCTACATACGAGCAGCCACAGAGAACAAGAGGGAAAAGAGCAAAGCATTTAATAAGGCTTTTCAGCCAATTTTTCAAGAAAATTCCAAAACAAATATTTTTATTTTATTAGATTTAGATTTTATTTTCCATAAATTATTGAGGGAGAATTCATTTTGGAGCTTCAAGAAGGAGGAAGATGAAGATTTTAGAAAGAGATTTTAGAGTTTGTGACACCTCCATTTGGTGATTTCTTTCCCATATTTAATCTCTTTATTTTTGTAATCTCTAAAAATGATGAAACCCTTGATGTTATTTAGTTAATTTTGTGAGCTAGGCTCCTAGTGCAACTAAGATTGTGATGTTTTAGTTTTTGCTTTTGGATTGTTTATGGTATTCTTGTGCTTGTTCATTCATGTGTATTTACTTGCTTAATTTCTATTTTTGATGGAAATCAAATGTAGAACTAGACTTAGATTGATTTGGAAAAATTAATTTAGGTTGGACTTTACATGGATGATGCATGTTCAATATAGGAATATATTAATTTGTAGAAGGTCTAGGAATATATCGTTTACCTTGTATAACCTAATAAATCCGAACTTGAAATTAGAATTCCATTAACTAGATTCACATAGGAATATGATGAAATTAGTTTGAGGAATTATAGTCATAATTAATTCGGAAGAACTTTATGCACAAACTTGAGTTTGGTTAACTAGTACAGAATGTTGTAGCATTTCTTTAGCATAGCTTTAGCATTTTGCAATCAAGGAGAAATTATTAGGAAGTCCTAGCTCAATTATTTACAATTGCTTGCATTTTTATTTTCTTTTAGTTATAAAAATATATAAAAAATAACAATTCTAGAAGTGAATCAATATTGGTATTTAACGAAAGCTAAACACAATCCTTGTGGGATCGATAACCGTACTCTTGTACACTTTATTATTTGTGCGATTCGTATACTTGCGAGTTTTCACGCAACATACACGTAAAACATAAATAAAAGTTTAATAAGTAAAAACAACAAGAAATTTTCAAATAACGAGTAATATACGCTTGATATATATCACTCAGGCTTTTACGACAATATAGAAGAATAGGCAAACGTGTAACCTGTTAACGCATAACCTTCTCCTCTACATAAATCTGATAAAGAAAAAAGAGCCGACCAAGAAAACTAATCCTTTTACTTGCTTCTTTTCTTTTTCCATTTTTACCTTTTCCTTTTTGAAATATGCCAATCTGGTGTTTCTAGTGGAATAATACTGTCTCATTAATATTACGACATAGCTCTAAATATGCCAAGAGCCTCCTACAAAAATTGCAAAAATGTTTTTTTTTTTTAATATTTGCAACATGTATTTTGTTTTTCTTTTTGTTCTACTCGTTGCATTTTTCTTTTTTGTTTTAAGAATTGTTTGTTTTTTCTGTGTTTTAAAATTTAATCCTACACCTACCTCCAGCAACATTATATCTCTCCACCCAAAAAACAAAAATCTAAATCTAAAAAATAATCCCCACAGTGGTTGCTGGCATAATCTAATAGTAATTATATACTTGACTATATGATAACATGAAGAGTTCAAAAAAAAAAAAGAAAAAAAAAGTTCCAAAATGCTATAGAGAATTAATTTTCTTTTACTTTGAAACAACCAAACAAATACATATATGGTATAATACTTATAATATGCAGTATGGTACGAGTTTTTTGTTTTGATCATAAATGAAATTGATACGATATATCATCAAATTTTTATATTTGATGAGTAATAATGATGGACACATAACTGTTGAAAACTCATCTATATATACCCTGATATAAAGGAGTTTTATGTTTTTTTTTTTTTTCCTTGAACGTGCAATGTAGGTATAAAGGAGTTTATGGTTTTTTTTTTTTTTTCTTGAAGTATCTTTATACCCTGATGACGATATCAAGATACCTGAAGATTTCCTATCAAAACAAGATACGTGAAGATTTTTTTTTAATCTCTCATGAAATTAAGTTGATTCATATACACCGAGTACTTTCAAATTTAAAAAATCCCTCTTCTCCAATTGCTAAAATTTATCTATACCTATTATGAACCAATAATGGTGGGATGAGAATATTCAGTTATGGAAAAGATATATAACAAAAATATCCTGATAGAG